AGTACATGGAGGAGGGGGAGAGAGAGAAGGAGACACAGAAACCGAAGCAGGCCCCAGGCTCCGTGCTGTTAGCACAGAGCCTGATGCGAGGCTCGAACTTGTGAACCGTGAGATCATGACCTGAGCCAAAGTCTGACGCTTAACCGACTGAGCCACCCAAGTGCCCCCAAACATACTTTTTAAATACTTTGGTAGACTCTCTTTGAATGCTTTTATTTATTGTGGAGTGCTATTAGTCTATGTAGGGTCATGAAAACACACTGCTAATCAGGGTATGCTTGTGGTTAGACTTTGGGGCACCGGGGCTCCCCATTCCTGCTGGGTGTTAGTTACCAGCCATAAAGCACTTCTCTGGCCAAGAATTCTCACATTTGGGGCACCTGGGTGTCTCAGTGGGTTAAGTGTCAGCCTTCGGTTCAGGTCATGATCTCAGCGTCTGTGAGTTCAAGCCCCACATGGAGCTCCGTGCTAACAGCGAGGAGGCTGCTTTGGATCCTCTATCTCCCTCTCTCTCTGCCCCTCCCCCGTTCATGCTCTGTCTCTCTCTGTCCCAAAAATAAATAAACGTTGAAAAAAAAATAAATAAATAAACATTAAAAAAAAATTCTCACATTCATTGCTCTCACCTGGTGGTTAATCCATGTTTTTGTCTTTGCCACAGGTGAGGAGAGAGGAAGCCCATCAACTTTCTGCTTCACATGAATCCCCCGAGCAGTTATCCTAATAGGGTTCTGTCCTGCTCCCGAGATCTAGCATTTTAATGAACAGAGACCCCCAGAGACCTTCCACCTTTCACGGTGATGCTCCTGCCTATAATCTGTGCTTTGGTTTCCTCTGTCAACCTCATTCTGCCTGCCTTCCATTCTTGAGGGCTTCCTTATAGCTTCTAGTTTAACAGGGCCCCGCTCTTTGTTTTCCAGTACTATTACAGATTTATTTTCAGGTCTACTCTCTTTTACCTCTGTGGTTTGAGGCAGGAGAGAGGCAGTGTCCACAGGTGGCAGGCTGATGTCTGGGCCCAGTGGCCACGGAGAACCTTTCTGTTGTCCTGACACTGACAGCTTGGCTCAGCATAGAATTCTTGGGTCACAATCAATCATTTTCTCTCAGTACTCTGTAGAACGTCATCCACTCTCCTCTGACGTTCTGTATTGCGTGTGGTAATTGACGCATTCTGATTCTTTATTCTTTTTAGGTACTCTGGGGTTTTCCCCCTCTGCCTTAATGTTTGCTTTTCTTTCTCTCTCTCTTTCTTTCTTTTTCTTTCTTTCTTTCTCTCTCATTCTTTCTTTCTCTTCCTTCCTTCCTTCCTTCCTCCCTCCCTCCCTCCCTCCCTCCCTCTCTCTTTCTCTCTCTCTCTCTCTTTCTTTCTTTCTTTCTTTAGATTTTAAGCAGTGTCTACACCCAACATGGGGCTTGAACTCACAACCCTGAGATTAAGAGTCACATTCTCCAGGGCTCCTGGGTGGCTCAGTCCTTTAAGCATCTGACTTTGGCTCAGGTCATGACCTTACGGTTTGAGCCCCACATTGGGCTCTGTACTGACAGCTGGGAGCCTGGAGATTCTGTGTCTCCTTCTCTCTCTGCCCGTCCCTCCATCCCATCTCTTCCTATTCCTACCTCCATCCCCAGGCAACCACTGATGTGCTTTTCTGTCGTGAAAACTTACTTGCATTTTGCAAAATTTTATATAAATGGAATCATACAGTATGTATTCGTCTTTATTTGGCTTCTTTCACTCAACAAAATTATTTTGAGATTCGTCCTTATTGTTATGGGGATCAGTAGCCCATTCCTTTTATTGCTGAGTGTATTCTGTCATACAGATGTGCCGCCACAATTTGTTCATGGGTATTTGGGTTGTTTCCACTTTGGGGCTATTATAAATAAAGCTTTTATGAATATTTGTGTGTATGTCTTTGTACGGAATATGCTTTCTTTCTTGGGTAAATACCTAGAGGGGAATGGCTAGGTAATGTGGTAGGTCTATGTTTTTGTTCTTGGTTTTTTTATAATTTTTTTTAATGTTTATTTTTGAGAGAGAGAGGGAGCGAGCAGGGGAGGGGCAGAGAGAGACACAGAATCCAAAGCAGGCTCCAGGCTCTGTCAGCACAGAGCCAGACATGGGGCTCGAACTCACAAACTGTGAGATCATGACCTGAGCCAAAGCTGGGAGCTTAACCGACTGAGCCACTCAGGTGCCCCATGTGTTTTTATTTATTTTTTTTAATGTTTATTTATTTTTGAGAGAGACAGAGACAGGATGAAAGTGGGTTAGGGGCAGAGAGAGAGGGAGACACAGAATCCGAAGCAGGCTCCAGGCTCCGAGCTGTCAGCACAGAGCCAGATGTGGGGCTCGAACTCACAAACCTGAGATCATGACCTGAGCTGAAGTCGGGCGCTTAACTGACTGAGCCACCCAGGCGCCCCATGTGTTTTTATTTTTAAAGAAACTCCCAAACTCCAAAAAGTGGTTGCATCATTTTATATTCCTATCAGCAGTGGTTGAGAGTTTCAGTTACTCCACTTTTCATCAATGTTTTGTATGGTCAGTCTTTTTAATTTAAGAGAGTCTTTAGTAGGTGTGCAGTGATATCTTATTATGGTTTAATTTGCATTTTCTTTCCTAGTGACCGGTGATGTTGAGAGCCTTTTCATGTGCTTATTTCCCATCTATCTATCTTCTTTGGTGAAGTACCTATTTAAATCTTTTGCCCGTTTTAAAAATCACTTGTTTGTTTTCTTATTATTGAGTTTGAGAGTTCTTTATATATCCTAGACAGATTTCTTTATTAGATATATAATTTGCAAATATGTTCTCTGAGTCTGCGGCTTACCTTTCTATTCTCTTAATAGTGTCTTTAGAAGGGAAGATTTAGATTTTTATGAAGTCCAGGATATCAGTTTTTTTCTATTATGGATCATGATTTTGGTGTTATATTGAGAAATCTTTGCTTGATCCATAGTCACGAAGATTTTTTCCTATGTTTTCCTCTAGAAATTTTATAGTTTTAGGTTTTAGATTTAGGTCTATGATTAATTTTGAGTTATTTTTTGTACATGGTGTGAGATATGAATCAAAATCCTCTTTTTTCCTTATGAATATCCAGTTTCTCTAGGACCATTTTTATTGAAAAGACTCTTTCCTCCAGTGAATTACCTTTGCACCTTTGTCTAAAATCAATCGACAGTGTACGGACATTTATCTGGATTCTATTCTCTCCTGTCTCTCTTGACATCAACAACTTCATATTGTCTTGATTCCTAAACAACTTTTTTTTTTTTTTTATTGTTTGGCTATTTTAGGCCCTTCACATTTCCATTATGAACCTTAGATAAAGCATATTGATTTTAACAACGAAAAAAAGTTCTCTGGAACTTTTATTACAATTACACTGAATTTATACATCAGTTTGAGGGTGGAATTGACATCTTAACAATCTTGAATCCTCTGATCCATGACCGTGGTATATCTCTTCATTTATGTAGGTCTTTTTAAACTTCTTTTATCAGTGCCTTGTGGTGTTTACTGTACAGATCTTGCATACATCTTTTGCCACATTTTCCCCTATAAATTTCATATTTTTGATGGTATTATAAATGGTATAATTAAAAATATTTAAATTCCCAGTTGTTGCTATTATATAGAAATATAATTGATTTTTTTTTTCAACGTTTATTCATTTCTGGGACAGAGAGAGACAGAGCATGAACGGGGGAGGAGCAGAGAGAGAGGGAGACACAGAATCGGAAACAGGCTCCAGGCTCTGAGCCATCAGCCCAGAGCCCGACGCGGGGCTCGAACTCACGGACCGCGAGATCGTGACCTGGCTGAAGTCGGACGCTTAACCGACTGTGCCACCCAGGCGCCCCTATAATTGATTTTTAAATACACTTTATTTTTTAGAGCAGTTTTATGTTCACTGCAAATATAATTTATTTTTACATATTGATCTAGTATCCTTCAACCTTGCTAAACTATAGCAGTTTTTTGTATGATCCCATAGGACTTTATACACAATCATGTTGTCTGTAAAATAAAGATAGTTTTACTTCTTTTCCAATCTGATCGCCTTTCACATCTCTGTCTGTCTCTCCAGTTTTCTTTCTTTTTATGTTAAGCTTTGAAGTTCATTGGAAGGATTGGTCGTCTTTTATAATGGCTAACGCTGATTGTCAAATTTGAAAAACATTAGTTTAATCAATAAGCAACATTATACATTTGCAAGTGAAAGGCTTTGGTCTCATTTGCAATTTGCTACAGAAATTGATGGAGAAAATGTTACAGCTCTTTTATGAAATGGACACAAACAGTATTATAAGTTATATAAAGGGATGAATCATTGCAGTAATGCGGCTCTGACTCTAGAAATCTGTTACTCAAAGTATACAGTTTGACTTCAGGAAAAACAACTGGCAAGTGGTAATAAATCAGATTTGCAGACGTTAGGTTGGTTATTGGACTAGATTAGGCATGGTAAGGGATGTTTGATGGTATGCTTTCTCACTGACATCATTGCACCATTCAGGAGTAGGGTAGGTTTACAAATGGTGTAAGGGGCAATTACTTCTCCTTTTTCATTGAGTTCATTGTCTAAAACTTCCAGCACAATATTGTATAGAAATGATGAGGGCAGACATCCTTGCCTCATTCCTGAACTTAGGGGGAAAGTATTCAGTATTTTCCATTGAGTGTATTGTTAGCACTAAGTTTTTCATAGATGTCTTCCATCAAGTCAAGGATATTCTCAACTACTCCTAGTTTTCTGGAAGTTTTTCTTCAGGAACAGATGCTGATTTTTATCAAATGTTTTTTATGCACCTGTTGAGATAATCACATGATTTTTCTTTTTTATTTAGTTACTATGGTGAATTATGTTGATTGCTTTTTGAAGGTTGAGCCAACCTCGAATTCCTGAGGGTAAACTCCTTTGGTATTATGTATTATACTTTTCATATGTTGTTGGTTTCAAGTTGTAATTTGTTAATAATATTTACACCTATGTTTATGAGGGATGTTGTTCTGTAGTTTTCTTGTCTGGGTTTGTCTGGGTTTGATATCAGATAATGCTGCCCTCAATGTCTTCAATAGATGTATTATTCAGTGTTTGTATTTCTTCTTGTCTGAGATGAGGTATTTAGTGCCTTTTAAAGATTTTGTCTATTTCCTCTATGTTGTCCAATTTATTGGCATGACATGTTCATAATATTCCCTTATTATCATTTTGGTATCTATAGAATCTGCTTCATTGTCACCTTTATCATTCTTGATGTTAATCACTCATATCTTATTTTTTTCCTGGTTTAGTCTGTCTATAGAATTATGCATTTTATTCTCACAAAACAAGTTTTTGGTTTTATTGATTTTTTCCTATTGTTTTTCTGTTTTCGGTTTCAATTATTTTCACTTTAATCTTTTTTATTTCAATTCTTGGGCTTACTTTGGGCTTTATTTGCTCTTCCCTTTCCAGTTTCTTAAAGTAGAAACTGAGGCAATTCATTTGAGACATTTGTTATTTTCTTTTTTTTAAGTTTATTTATTTTTAAGAGACATAGAGCATGGAAGGGGCAGAGAGAGAAGGAGAGAGAATCCCAAGCAGGCTCTGTACTGTCAGCACAGAGCCCTATGTGGGGTTTGAATTCACAAACCATGAGATCATGACCTGAACTGAAGTTGGACATTTAACTGAGCCACCCAGGCACCCCATATTTGTTATTTCCTTTTTTAAATTTTTTTAAAATTTTATTTATTTATTTTGAGAGAGAGAGAGAGCGAGAGAGCAGAAGAGGGGCACAGAGAGTGGGAGAGAGAGAATCCCAAGTTGGCTCTGAGCTGTCAGCACAGAGCCCTATGCGGGGCTTGAACTCATGAACCAGGAGATCATGACCTGAGCCGAAACTGAGAGTCCAGCACTTAACTGACTGAGCCACCCAGGTGCCCCTGTTATTTTCTAATATAGATATTTTTAGTATTGTGAGTTTTTCTCAACTAGTACTTTAACTGCATTCCACACATTCTGATATTTTTTTCATTTTCATTCAGTTCAAAAAACATTTGAATTTTCTCTTAGATTTTTTATTTCACTTATATGTTATTTAAACGTGTGTTTAGTTTCTAAATATTTGGAGATTTTCCAGGGATCTTTCTGTTACAGATTTCTAATTTAATTCCATTGTGGTCAAAGAACATACATTTTTTTTTTTTTTTTTTTTTTTTTTAAGTAGGCCCCACACCCAATGTGCAGCATGAACTCACAACCCTGAGATCAGGAGTTGGATGCTCTCCTGACTGAGCCAGCCAGGCACGCCCCAGAAATGACTTTAATCTTTTAAATTTAGTGAGGCTTGTTTTATGGCTGCAAATGTGGTCATCTTGGTAAATATTTCATGTATATATGAAACTATTCCTCAGGGTCTTTTTTAAACGTTTTATTTATTATGGGGGGGGAGGGGCAGAGAGAGGGAGAGAAAGAGGGAGACAGGATCCCAAGCAGTCTCCGTGCTGTGAGCACAGAGCCCCACATGGGGCTCGATCTCATGAATTGTGAGATCATGACCTGAGCCGAAATCGAGAGTCAGATGCTTAACGGGCTGAGCCACCCACGTGCCCCTAAGCATTCCTCAGTTTTACTCATCCATACTTCTGTCATTAGTTACATTCATAGTAATTTGGGGAGGGTAAAAGTTACTGTCTTGAATCAGAATATGTCTATTTGGTGTTGTCAAGCTCCTCGAAGGCAGGCTCTATGTCCTGTTTGCCTTTCTATCCCCTCCACGTTTTTCCTGGCCCCAAACGGAGGCTCAGCAGACCCTGGTTGAATGAATGGATGAATGGATGACAGTCAGAAATGGTTAGGCTGTGTTCCTGTTTTTGATGCAGAAAACATCCTCTTGGGTTACGTGACAAGACTGAGCCTTACACACCTTTGTGTCTTTGAGTCCCTACAGGACTCGGCACGTAACTTGACACATCGTAGGGGCTCAGGCAGCGGTGGTGGCCTTGAATGGAACTGAAGAGACAGCTCCAAAGGTCCCACCTCTGACCTTTGTAGGAGGTTTAAAGCTGCCCTGAGGCAACTGACAAGCTGTTCTGGCCACAGGTGGAGAGGCTGTCCTGTCATAAAGCCCCCTGGGACGTGATGTCACACACAGACACCACTCTCCTTGCAAAAGGGAGGGGCCGCGCCCCAGCCCCCCACACTGAGCCGGGCTGCAGTGCCCTTCACGGGCTCGGTCCTGGAGCCAGAGGGAGGTGAGTGGGCTGCCTGGACACCGAAAGGGTCGAAGGGCACTCTGCAAATCGCTGACATCAAGGTGGGCCGCTGTGGTAAGGCGGCTCGAAGGACGGCCCTCAGTAACGCGCCGGAGCAGGTGGAAGTTGTCTTTGCGACTCTCAGCTCACCGTCCCCGCAGCCCTTCCTGCCTGGCCTTCTCCTTCTCCCTCTTCTCTCCCTCAGGACTCATTTACTCTCCTCTCTGCCCCCAAACCGCCTCTCAGAGAAAGCCTGATAACTTTGCTCACGCCAAGTTAGAAATGACTAGAAAGCTTCCTGCCGAACATGTTGCCGGCAGTTTTCTCAGAGAAGGTGACTCCGGACAAGGGAGGCACCGTAGTGACCTGCGGAGAGCTGAAGTCAGCCACGCCTGGAAAAGGCCCACTGGCTTTGGTGGCTCAGCGCTGTTGGTGACCTTGGCGAGAGAGGTTTTGGAGGTTTGCGGGGACAGGACCACGCTGAAGCAGCCGTGGACCGGGGGGAGGAGTGAAGATGCTCCCTGCAGACGGCCCGAGGGCTGGTATGAAGGATAGGGCGCCATTACAAAGGTAGCTGGGAAGGGATCTGGTTCAAGGGAGAAGGCCTTTTTCAAAAATTCTTTTTTTAATGTTTTTATTTATTTTTGAGACAGAGAGAGAGAGAGACAGAGCATGAGCAGGGGAGGGCCAGAGAGAGGATGAGACACAGAATCCGAAGCAGGCTCCAGGCTCTGAGCTGTCAGCACAGAGCTGGACGCAGGGCTCGAACTCACGGACTGTGAGATCACGACCTGAGCTGAAGTCGGACGCTTAACCGACTGAGCCACACAGGCGCCTCGAGAAGGCCTTTTTTTAATGGAACACATGAGTGATGTGTGAAATGCTGATTAGGAGCCAGTAGAGAAGGAAAGGCTGAATATACCAGTGAGAGAGGGGACCCCAAACACCCGGGCTGTGAGAAGACCGGATGGCGTGGAGCACACAGTGGGGCTGGGCCCAGAGAGTGGAGGGCAGCCGCGTTCCTGAGGATAAAATGGCCTGGGAGCAGAGAGGCGGCAGAGAGTTGAGGGAACGCCCATGTGGGGGTGTCTGTGTTCTTTGCTGAAAGTGGGGAAGGCAGAGTGGGGGTTGAGGTTTAAAGGGAGATTCTGAAATAGTCCCTGGTGAGAGTAGGGAGCTCCCTGGGAAGCAGAGGCTCCAGGCCACACTGGGTCCAGCTCACAGTGGAGACCTTGACTTCACAGTGGTGGTGGTTCGTATGGAATCGGCCACCGATGGTGGGATTTCAGTCAGGGTATTTTGAAGAGGCCAGGGATATCCCCAGGACTCCTAAATTATACTAGTAAATAATAGTGATTAAAAGCTACCAATACTTTTGAGTAGTTTCCGTTATGCAGCATTTCTGAAATAATTAGCCACCTACGTCTGGGGTCATTTTTAACCAAATGTTCAATAGAGCGATACCTTTTTCCTTACTCCTCTCCCAACCCCCTTCTCCCATCCCGATTCTCTGGGAGCTGCCTTTCCAGCTCTGAGGGTGTTGAAACTAGCTTTTGCTTGGGGCTCTGAGGTCTTGGGAGGAATCCCTGAGTGTTTTCCAAGCTCTCATCGCTAGCCCACTCCATCCTGAGTTTGGCTTCCGGCTGTGACCTGCAGGCCATCCCCGGGCTGAGCCCTGTGGGCAGATGTCCTTGCCATTCCCCCCACTGCCTCTGGCCCACTGCAGTCCCCACAAGCCACCAGGTAAAGGAACGCTGGGATCCCCGGTCTGCGTGACGCATTGACTGCTAACCATCTTTTCTTCTTAGACTGAAAATGGTGTTTGGACTATTCTGCCAGAGAGAGAGGTGAGGTTTCAGCGGGCCCTGTTCCAGGGCCTCCAATGACCAGGAAGGGGGACCCCCCCCCCCCCGCCCCCGGGTCTAAGAGGAAGGAAAATCGGGTTCTCTCTTCCCTTTTCCTTGACTGTTACAGTATCCCTGGAACTCAGGGTTGGGGTGGAGGGCCTGGTCTTGGCACGTGGGGGACATGCCTCTGTGTGTGTGTGTGTGTGTGTGTGTGTGTGTGTGCGTATGCTTGTGTGTGTGTGCGCGCGCTGGGAGCCAGTGTCCTGGCAGCATCAAGATGCTCTGCTTCTCCCAAGGGAGGGGTCCCAGAAGAGGAGGGTGAGTCACGGGGATACTATTTCTGATCTGGATTGTGGGATCTGTCCAGAGTAGGGGGAGCTTTGGAGGACTTCAGGGAGAAGAGCTGACCCAGCGCTGAATGAGCAACGATGAATGCCCAGCCAACGCTGGGTCCTTGCTCTCTGGCTGGGAAGGCAAGGTGGACCTGTGGAACAAGTACAAGAGGAAAGGAGAAGGGAGTGTGCTCCAGGCTCCAAGGCTGGCTGTCAGAGTTGGCAGAGGCACTGAGCCCTGCCTGCGGGGCAGCAGAAAGCCCAGGCTGGGCCCTGTTACGGCTGAAGGATTTATTATTCACCCACAGTGTCGGACACGCTCTGGTGGATGTGGTCCTGGGGTCTGGGTTGGGAGGAAAGCCGGTGCCCACCCACCAGCGAGGGCATGAGACAACACCCCAGCCTTACACTCAACTCTGCTTTCCTTCCAGGCTCTACAAGTCCCTGTACATAGTACAGGTCTTCGTTCTTGCAGGTAGGAGCCTGGGAGTGCGTGAGGGCAGGAGCTGGGAAGCTGGTTCCCGCCTCAGGGCCACCCCCACCTCCGACCGCCTACCGGGGCTCCTAAGGGCCCCTCGAGGGCCGCCCAGCTCCCAGGGACTGGCCGTGCAGCTCAGAGTCAAGGCTGCCCTTCTCCCCCTTTCTTCCCTTCCCTTCTTTCTGCCCTTCGTAGTTAAACTAGGATTTGAACCCACGTTTGCTTCTAAAACCCATGCCTCCACGCTCCCCAGAAAATCCAGGAACCAAAACCCATACAATCACAGCAGTGATCTTCCAATTTTTGCTTGCATACCTTTTGAGAAATCATACATCCTGCATACATGTTGCTGCCTACCATCTTTCATTATAAGTTCAGTTTAAAACGCTATGGTTTCTGGTATATTGTAAATACGGACATTTTAAAGTGATTACATCACTCTTTTAAATGTTTTAACTGGTCTTTCTCCACCCGCCCTCAGGAGTGGTGTACTACTATTTTCAGGAGTCTGTGGGGAAGCCAGTCCCGGACCATGAGATCGCTGGGGAATCCTCACAGGTAGGCACCTCGGGGGCCTAGAGGCTGGGATAGTCTCACTGTAGCCTGAACAGGGGTCACGCTCCTTGACCTCAATTGTTGACTGACCGTGTGTGTGTATGTGTGTGCATGCGAGGGCTCTGCAGAAATTTGCTGTGTTCCTGGCAAAGTGTTAAAACAGAGGCCCCCACCCCCCACGGGCTGGCTGGCTGGTCACCGCGTGCCTCTGTGGCAGTGGCCTCCACCATCCAAAAGGAACAGATGATCCCCCATTCATGTGAGTAGCCGTGGAATGTGGTTCAGCGCCCACGTGTGGATGAGGTGGTGGCGGGCAGGACACCTGCCTGGGGTTGCATACTCTCCTCCATGTCCCAGATCCGAGAACCTATGGCCGAAGCCCCTGCCCCCAGCCCTGTGTCAGAAGAACACAAATGGATGCTGGACGCTCACCCAGGGCCATGTGCTAGGTTACGTGCTGTCCATCTGTTATGTCATTTGAGCCTCACGGCAACCCAGCAGCTCACACTTTACACAGATGGGAAACAGGCCCCCAGAGGGACTAGATCCAGGTTGCCCAAGTGATAGTACAGAGCTACATACCTGATCTCTGGGGGCCTCCTTTTTCTGCACAGCGCTGTTGGGAAGAGGAGAATCCCATAGAAACAAGGTTATCGGTGGCCCAGAAACTCTGAGAAGTATGTGCTACACCTTCTGGGGGTGACCATTCAGAGGTGGGGAGACCCTAAGAAGGCCCATGTTGGCAGGTGCCTTGGAGACCACTGAATCCAACTTCACCTCCTTTCTTTGTTGTTGCTGATTCTTAAAGCAACCGGTCAAATTTCCATTTAAAAATTTGTCACAGCACCTGGCGGCTCATAGGGTTAAGCTTCCAACTGTTGATTTCGGCTCAGGCCGTGATCTCGTGATTTGTGAGATGGAGCCCGAAGTCAGGGCAGTGTAGAGCCTGCTTGGGATTCTCTCTGTCCCTCTTTCTCTGCCCCTCCTCCACTCGCTCTCTCTCTCTCTCTCTCTCTCTCTCTCAAAAATAAAAATAAACATTAGCCAATGAATTCCTACAGTGGAAGCTGAGGATGTAGCTCTCGTAACAACTGCACATTTACTGCCCCTCCAGCACTTCACCTCCCCCAGCCTTCCAGTGTAGACAGCTATAGCCTTGTTTTGGGGTTGTAAAATTTTTAATTTGAGTAATGACATTTTCGCTTGTTAAAATCCTTTAAGTAACATTGCTGTTTTGCTGTATTTATATCATTTTGGCTTTTAAGCCCCCCACCACGGCAGTGGGGTCTTTTTTCTTTTTCTTTTGTTTTAATTTTTTAAATGTTTATTTTGAGAGAGAGAGAGAGAGAGACAGATCATAAGTGGGGGAGGGGCAGAGAGAGAAACACACACACACAATACAAAGCAGGCTCCGGGCTCTGAGCTGTGCGGTGCTCTAACTCACGAACGGTGAGCTCATGACCCGAGCCAAAGTTGGAGGCTTAACCTACTGGGCCACCCAGGCGCCCCAGTGGGCCCTTTTTTGACAGGCATACACAGCTGTGTAAGCAGCACCACAACCCAAACCAGAACAGTTCCATCCCTTCTGACAGTCCCTCCGTACTCACGGGCAGCCAGTCCTTCCCCACTGCCCCCGCCCCGACCCAGTGAAGAGTTTTCCGTTCCCATACTGCTGCCTTGGCAAGATTGTCCCGGAAGTGGAGGCATCCCCGATGTGGCTGCGCTTCTGGTCCCTCGCTGCGCTGGGTGCGCCTGAGGCCTGTCTGGGCGCATGCGCAGCAGTAGTTTGTGCCTTGCAGCGGAGCAGGCGTCCTTCGTGGGGATGGATCAGAGTTTGTCCACAAACCACTTGAGCTATTTGGGTGTTTCTAGTTTGGGACAGTGACAAATAAAACCGCACTAAATATTTGTCTACAAGTTTTGTGTCGACATCGGTTCTCCTTCCGCTTCGGTAAACACCTGGCCCCGGGAGTGGGGCGTGTGGTTAAGTGTGCGTTTAGTCCCGCAAGAAAACCGGGACTTTTCCAGAGCGGTTGCTGCCGTTCTGCGCTCACACCAGCCCCGAATGCGAGATTCCCGTTGTCCCACATCCTCCCCAGCACTTGCCATTGGTTTTTAGCCATGCCAGTGGGTGTATATCAGAATTTTTATTAGACCGATATTGAGGGTTTACATTTTTAAACTATGAAAAATAATATTCCTAGCGGAGCCAGGAATAGTATACCGTGGCCGCTCTTCGTGTGTGATTTTGGTCTTGCCTCTTTTTTAGTTTTCTACCTACAACTTATCCAAGCTGTCTGCCAAAAAATCAGTCTCCTTGCAATACATTTAGAAAAATTAGGTGCTTTATCAATATGATGGTTTTCGTGGAGCCATAGCTCATGGAGCCCTCCCTCCTCCTGTTTCCATATGGACAGGACACCCTTCACGATGTTCACCGCTGAGCTGTCCCGGGACCTCTCTTTCTCATGGGTCTGGGGAGCACTCCACTTCTCCCATGTTGGGGAGCCCACATCACTCCTTCATTTGGGTGGGACCCAACCTCTAGGAGAACCCCTGCTTCCCGAGGGGGGCGTCTTTAGATCTCACATATCTGTAACAGTCTTAATTCATATTCGACCAAGAGTTTGGATAGACACAGAATTCTAGACTAGAAGTATTTTTCTCATAGGGTTTGAAGATCCTCATTGTCTCCTGGCTTCAACGACTTTCAAAGGAAAGTCTGATGAAAGTTGAATTCCTGAAACAGACTTTTTTTCTTTGTATTTCTGGAAGTCTGGGGGTTCCTTGTCCTCAGTGCTCTCAAATGTATTGATGGAAGGCTCTGGGGGTGGGTCTCCATCATCCCTTGTCCTAGGTACTTGGTGATTCCTTCTCTTCTGGAAACTCCTGTCCCTCCCCTTTGGGAAATTGTCTTGATAAAAAAGGGGTGTATTCATTTGGTATCTCTCCCCTGCCACCTCGGTCTGTGGTCTCTGTTCCCTCTCTCAGAAAGATCTGTGATTTAGCTGTGGGAGCTCCTGATCTCCTCTCTGTTCTTTCTGGGGGAAAAAAAAAATTTTTTTTTCCAACTTTACCTTCTACACTTGGATTGGATTTTTCATTCCCATTATTATATCATATTTTTGTGGTAGTTTTTAGGTGTCTGTGCATGTGGACATCGACAGTGGATTAGTGTGTAGCTGAGGTGGCCCTTAGACGTCACCTCAGCCTTGCCTCCCCCCTCTCCCTCCTTGTCACGCAGCCCGTAGGGGAGACCTTAAGGCCAGTGTGGGGGCTGATGGATAAGTGCTACCCTGTGACCACTCAGGTAAGGGCTGGGGACCCCTCTTCCCCTGGAATGGGGTGGCTGTCCTGGGCGTCCTTGGTAGGTTCAGTGAGAGGATGGGCCAGGCAGGGAAGGACTCCCAGCCCCTCGCAGCTGTGAGTCACTTCTGTTTGCTTCTGTAGAGACGCAGAGTCAGGAGTGGGAAGAAGCAAGCCTCCGAGGTAAGTGAGGCTGGCTCCTGTCAGAGCTCCATGAGGCGCAGAGACACCCCAGCTCGTGGCAGGGGAATCCCAGGGGCAGTGGCACCCCCCCCGCCGCCCCCCAGGAAACTCACCACTCACTGAGCAGGGAAGGACTTCCTTGGAAAGGCAAAGAAGTACACACGCTCCGGGTGTAGAGAACGGGGAGGGAGGAGGCATTCTGAGGGCCTTTCTGCCCACCTCTACCCTCCTGACCCTCCCTGCAGGCCACGACCCCCGAGGCAACTGGAGGACTGAGTGATGCTGCGAAGGAGGATCCTGACATCTTGGCTCAGCGTGAGGGGGAGGGGAGGGCCCCAGAGGCGGAAGCAGCCAGCTCCATTCCCGCCAGGAGGGAGACGGCTGAGGAGGAAGAGGTGGCAGGGATCCCAGACTGGGAGGTAAGGAACAGCCCCAGCGTGGGCCCCACTGAGAAGCCCCAGAGCCCGGCAGGGTGGGGGCCGTGAGGGAGAGGGCAGTACTGGGGGGATGGGGCACCCCGAAGACCACTGGGCCGAACCGCCGTCCCAGTGGCGCAAAGAGCCGTGGGGAGCTGAGAGGCCGCACTCCTGGTGTGAGCGGAGCGGGTCTGAACCCTGCCTCTCCTGACTCCCTGTGAAGTGAGGCCTTAGTTTCCCCATTTGTGTAGGGTAGAACCTGTCTCATCCCACCACTGTGTCCTTTCTTTCTTCCCAGGAAAATAAAAAGGTCCGTAAGGAGATCGCAATATACCCTTCTGGTAAGATGGCAGGCCCCACCCTGATGCAGGACTGCCTCCCTCCCTGATCGCAGCGACCCTGCAGAGGTCACAGATCACTCCTCTCAGACCTCCTGCCCTGGGTGGGGAGGGGAGGGAAGAAGCCCAGGTGTCCAGATGCCGCATCCCCCCTAATGTCTCCCCTGCCTCCTGCTTCCTTCCTGGTAGCCGGGAACTTGGAGCCACTCCCCTCGGGCTGGGGGAACGGCCAGCCTTTCCTGAGCCTGTCCCCCCCAGCATCAGAGGGCGCCCTGGCTCTGGGGAAAGGTCCTCCCAGCAACGGACCCACAGGCATGCCTGTTTGTACTTTCTAGAGGCCTCTGAGGTGGCGAGTGAGGAGGAAAGCCCCGGGGCCTGGGTCCCCCAGCTCCTGAGGAGGCTCTGGCTGGGCTGGTTCCCAGCCCCCGACACCCGGAAGACACAGAACCACGAATGACAAAGTATCCAATAAATCCACAGTTACTGCTTCTGCAGACCCAGCTGCCTCCTTTCAGAGGCTTCGTGTCGTCAAAAACCCAGTGAGACCCTGTCCACAGTCCCTGTCCTGACAAGCTGCAGGAACACCACCTCCTGCCACTGAGCCCTGACACGACGGCGGATACTCTCAGTGCCAGGGGACAGACCAAGTCCCCTGAGTGCTGAGAGCCGGGCGGCTCCATGTCATGAAGGCATTTAGAAGGTGCTGGTGGGACCTCTGTCAGGGATGCTGTTGGGTGTGCGTGTCCTCTGGTAAAAGAAGCCTGGGGGAGGGGGCGCTTCTGACCTGAGTGTCTGTGGTCCCCAGGCTGTTCCCTAAATGCACCAAGGGGGTCTGCACAAGACTTGGCGAAGCATCCCATTGTCAGAAAGCCTCAGGTGCTCCCCAGGTGTGTAGTCCAGAACCCTCCGGTTGTGGGGGTGGGCACGGAGGGGGGACAGCAGTCCTGCTCCTGGCTACGGCTCCAGGCTAACAGGGTCACAGCTCGAGAAGTCAGAGCAGGAAGACAGGACCCGGCAGCCATCTGATGCCAGCAGCTCATTGGCTGAAGGGGAAACAAGCCCGGGGCAGGGGAGGGACTGGCCCAGGGTCACACAGTATCCTGGCAGAGCAAGGATGAAAGCCAGGTGTCCTCCTCCAGGGTCTCCACATGGCCTCCTCGTCCTCTGACCATTCCACTGTCACATGGGGCCAAGGTTGACCCCCGTCCCTAGGGCGTGCCTGTGGCCCACAGGTCTCCCTGCCTACCCCTGGCCAAGTCTCCCAAGAGCTCAGCCTGAGCCAGCCGCTCAGAGGACCGTGCCCTGGGCTGGAGCCAAATGAGTGTCTTCCTGCTCCAGCCCGGCCACGAATGGCAAGTCCTGAGCAGGTGCCTGAACGCGAGCATTTCCGAGGGGCTCGGAAACGGGGCCCATCCTAGTTTGGGGTGACTGAAAGGCTCAGGGAGGTGGCTCACTCCTGGACGGCCATTAGGCTTCGCAGGGAAAGCTCTGGCACCTGAGGACCGAGCCCCAGGTGTCAACCTGGCACATCCCTCCTGGCCCTCCCTGAGCACCTCACCTTCGGGGCTGTCGTAGATGAAGTGGGGCATAAGGGCTGAAGGTGCTGCCGAGCTGCTGGCCTGTGGTGTGGGGTGGGCGGTGTTGGACCTGAGGTGGGGGTGTCCAGGCCGAGTGGGGTCCTCCCCACCCCCCCCACCCCCCCCGGGCCTGGGTGAGATCTCTCAGCAGCTTGTTCTCGCTCTTCCTGGCACGGGCCGGGGCCTTAGACATTGTCACTGACCAGAGTGGCCGATATCGGGTCTCTGGGTGAGTAGGGGGTAAGCCTGTCATCTTCTGGCCCTCGGTATACCCGGCTCTCAAATGGGATCGAACGCAAGGTAAGGACGGATAAGGCAGGGGTAGGGGCTGGCCCTGGGGAGGCTGCTGAGGCCCCCATCACCGCCAGGGGCTGGTCAGGGGGCCCGAGGGGACTCAGAAGCCAGGATGGAACCGCCAAATTGGTTTATTGCATATCAGGGCCCCTGCTGAGGAGCCAGTCGGGGGGGCTGGTTCCTCCTCCTAGCGGGGCACGGCACAGAGCTGGTAGGGGGGTGGGATCATCAGGAAGGAAAAGACACCGTGGTCGCTGGGCCGGGGTTGCCCCACAGGCACGGAAAAGCTGAAGCGCTGTAGCAGACAGGTGAAGAAGAGGAAGAACTCCATGCGGGCCAGGGGCTCCCCGAGGCATATGCGGCGGCCTGCGGGTGGGTATGGGGGTGCTCAGTGAGCCGGGGGGCCTGGGCTCCACCCTCCGAGACTCCCTTGGGAGGGGTCAGTGAGTTGGGCACCGCAGGTACCTGCAGAGAAGGGCATGAAGGCCTCCTGCTTGACGAATTGGCCCTGGGCATCCAGGAAGTGCTCGGGGTGGAAACGGAAGGGCTTCTTCCAGACCGTCTTGTCCTTCAGCACTGACGATAGGTTGGTGATAAGTGTTGTCCCCTGGCAGGAGACGCCTGGCATGGGTGGGGTCTAGGCTATGGGACGCCCAGACCCCTGCCACCGAACATGCATGGGTGCACGCTCTGCCTGGCACACACGGGACTCTTTCAAGTAACCCCGTGGCCCAAGAAGCTTCTCAGCACCTCCTTTGTCCCCATGGCAGGCCGAGTGACTCACCACCCACGGGGGTCCACGCTGCCACCTGTCCCTGTGCACAGGCTCCTCCAAAACCCCGTGCAACATTTCAGTCTGTCTTCCCCACCTGACTTGGGGGCTCTGAAGAGAGAGGCCGGCCCTGCCTCTGCTCCCATCCCCCACATCCACCTAGGCTGGGATAGTCGGTGCTTGCAGAAATGAGGATTGGGTGCCTTGGGTCCCCGCCCTTACCTGGCATTGGCCATGCTGAGTGGTGCTGAGCATGGGTGCAGAAGGCTGCAGACCTACCTTGGGGATGAGAAAGCCCTGTACTTCAATGTCTCGGGATGTCATGTGGGGCACGCCCAGTGGGGCGAGGTCCCCAAAGCGCTGCACCTCATGCATCACGGCCATGGTGAAGGGCATGCGGGTCTGGTCCGCCATCGCTGGTCGCTGCACCGGCCCTAACACTTCATCTATCTCCCGTTGGACGCGTCCTAGACAGACAAGCATCCCCACAGTGGTCAGAACAGTGGTCAGAACCCTGAGGTCTGGGCTCCGACCTCTGCCTGACTCTATGGAGGGGCCCAGGGCCCAGCTTCCGCTCAGAGCTTCGGGGGGCTAGAGCAAGCTTAAGGGGCCCCAGCTGGTTCCTCTCCTCCCTCATCCATCCATCCGGGCCCCAGGCTGAACTCACGCTGCACGTCCGGGTGCAAGATCATGAGCAGGAGGGCCCAGGCCAGCGTGGCTGAGGTGGACACCATCCCAGCAAGAAACAGGTCGGCTGTCACCATGAGCATGTTCTCATCATTGAAGCTGCTCTCGGGGTTCCCCCTAGCCTGGGCCGTGCCAAGAGGGTGAGCTCGGCCAGAGGGAAGAAGCCCCCAGATGGCCTCCCACCCTGCCCCCGTCACTGATCACTGGGTGATGTCCAGGCCCCACCTTCCTGGGCCTGGGGTCATGGGATTCTCAAACCACCACCACTGTCCCCGACACCTCACCTTTTCTATTTCATCCAGGAAGGCGTCAGTCAGGTCTCGGGGTGGCTGGGTTGGGTCCCGGGTGATCCTGTGCTCCTGGACTAGTTCATTCAGGAGGGTCATTAAGGCCTTCTGGCTTGAGAAGACCTTGTCAGCCAGTCCCGGGATGCGCAGGAGCACAGGGATGGAGTTCAGGGCCTGGGAGGGCCACAGATGGGGGACCTTCCTGCGCTCAGTGTTCACTTCGATCAGCCAGGTCCCTGCCACCTCCCGGGTGTCCCCACCATTGCAGTGGCTCCTCCCTAAGTTCGGGCCTTGATCCTCTTTCCTGGCTCGGGGCCCAGGAGGACAAATCTAAGCCCTAGATCTCATGGGCTCTAGTGGCTTCCAATGAAGCAGGTACAGATTCCTTCCTGGGCCCTCTCCAGGGCTCCTGGACCCTGGGCCCGCCTCCCCGGCTCCGGGTCTGCGACCTCCCCACCTTCTCCAGACCCTTTGTCTTGGAATGCCTTTTCTCCCAGGCCCCTCCGTACTCCTCCTCCCCCTCCTCCCCCACGCCCTCCTCCGGGAGGCGCGTTTTAGGGCGGAGGCCGCCTGCACGCAGCTCGCCCTGCAGGGCTCCTTGGCGCCCCCGCCCCGCACCTCACGCGCGAAGCCGCTGTCCTCCTTCAGTCCCTTCAGTGCTCCGTCTATCAGCTTGTGGAGGCGCGGGTCGTCGTACTCGAAGCGGCGCCCGTAGGTGAGGGAAGCGATCACATTGCTCACAGCTTTATTCAGAAGCGCCCTGGGGCTAAAAGGGCGTCCTGAGAGGGGACGGTGCGGGTCAGGGGGTCTCCTCCATCTCTTCCCCAGCCCCTCCGTCCCTGTCTCCTGTGCCCCTCAGCCTCCAAACGCACCGGCATGGTCGGCGAAGGCTGCACAGAGGCACGAGGCCTCCTCGGTCACCCGCTGCTCCAGTGACTTCTTGCCCAGGCCGAAGTTGCGCAGGGTGGACAAGGCGAAGCGCCGCTGCTCGCGCCACTCGCGCCCGTAGCGCGCCATGAACACCCCTGGGGCGGGGCGGGGCGGGGCGGGGCGGGGCGGTGGGCGTGGTTTGACGGGCCCGCCCGGGGCACTCGGCCCCGCCCCTTCGCAAGGCCCCGCCCCTGCCCCGTTCACAGGCCCGGCCCCCTGCCCGCCCTCATAAACCTTGCCCCCCACGCCCACTAAATCGCGCCCACTTTGACACCCACTTGCCGCTGGGGACTGGTCTCTCTGCCTGCCCGCCAGCTCTCCTCTGCTGGGGGCAGGTGTTGGCATCACTCTGCCCACCTTGACCCCCCTGCCCAGTCGGGAAAAGTCCTGGTCCGCCCCCTGCCTCGCCCATACTGTCTTCCTTCCCCCTCATTCCCGCCTACCCAGACGTCCTTTTCTTGACCGGTTCGGCCCTGGGCCCGCCCCTTCTCGGTCAGGCCCCGCCCTCATCCGCCTCTATCAGGCCCCGGCACTTGGCACCAGATCCCTTCCTCCACCTGCGGCCACTCCAAATTCTTTGACTCTTCCCTGCACTGCATGTTCACGATCCTGCCTCCACTTAGCCCTGCCGGGTCTTGAGTCACTGCCGGCCCAGTCCCCTCCGGACCTCGGTCTGCCCCCCTTCTCCGCTTGCCTTGGGAGCGCGGCCCGAACCCCAGGTGCTCGTAGATCGGCATAGGTGGGCGGTCGGCAGTGTCCTCGCTGTGATAGACCAATGCCTCGCGCACGGCCTCCAGGCCGTTGAGCACGACCACGGGCGTCCAGGCCAGCTGCAGGCTGAACACGTCCCCGAAGCGGCGCCGCAGCTGCAGGCCGAGGTTTGAGGGCGTTTGTCAAGCCCGGTTCCGCCCCCCCACTCCCACCCCCAGCAGGCTGCGGCCCCGGTCTCATGGCGCTAGCCTTGGGGCACCCCTAGGCCTCCGGCAGCACGCTGGTGCAAGGGCGATATCTGGCCTAGTGACTCTGGGTTAGGGTCTACGGAGGAGGAGCTCACGCTGGATCAGACCTCTCAGCTAGGACTTTGCAAAGGTCACCAAAATTGTCAGTAGGCCAAGTTAGGATCCCATTCTACAGGTGAAGAAACTGAAGTTTATAGAGGTGAGCACTGAGACCCAAGAAACCACAGCAGCAAAAGAGTAGAAACCACCGTCCCCGTAATTATGTCACCCTCGGTTTCCCGATTTAAATGGGGCTCCTATCTGACTTCAGCTCAGGTCATGATCTCACTGTTTGTGAGCTCCAGCCCCAATTCGAGTGAGCCCTGCTTCTCGCTCTGCCCCTTGTGGGACTCTCTCTCCCTCTCTGCCCTTTGCTCACTTGTGCCTTCTCTCAATAAATAAAATAGGAAATAACACAAAATAAAATAATAAAGTAATTTTTAAAATGGGGCTCATGACCAGACTCCATCCCCGATTCTCAAGACCTTTCCTCCTGCTGTGATCAGAAGGGACCCAGGTCACATAATTTAAGTGCTGCCCAACTGGATCCCAAACCCACTGCCAAGCCCACACCCCACTCCAGGCCTTTGCCCTCTTTGACCTTTGATTGGAAAATCCCAATCGTCCTTCGGGCCCTGCGCGGAGGCCGGCCGCAGTCGGCCTCTCACCCCTGCCTCCAGCGCTCGGCCCATCTCCTTGTGCTCTCCTCGTGCGGCCTGTGGCTTCACCCCCCACCCGCCATCCGCCACCGCTAGGCGGGGGGCCCCCATCCCCCTCTGCTGCTCCCGCCTCCCGCCTTCCTCACCCGGTCGAAGTAGAAGAGCGTGTCCTGGAAGTCCATCTGCAGCAGGTTGCCCAGCAGCGGCAGCGGCATGGGGCCTGGCGGGAAGCGGGCAGCCCAGAATCTGCGCCTGTGCAGAAGGTCCACCAGGAGCAGGAAGAGGGCCACGGCTATGGCCAGGGGCCCCAGAGCATCCCCGGTCAGCAGTCCCATGGCCGCCTCAGTGCGTGCTGGGCTCCTCCGGCACGCCAGGTACCTAGGACCAGGCCAGATGGGACGCTCAGCACATTTTGCAAGCCCAGCCAGCGCGGGCCCTCTTTCTAAAGGGACCCGAGGCCGGCCTTTGCCCTCTGCCCTGAGTCAACGTGTCAGGGGGACCGTGCTGCCAGCGGACACGAGGAGGAGCCGAGGAAGGTCAGGTGCAGGGGTGACCGCCGAAGTCCTGTCCCTCTTGGACTCTCGGGTGCTTCCCCAGGGTAGTGGGGTGAGATTAGTGGAGAGACGAGAAGCCCACCCCTCAGCCTGACTCTGCAGCTCTGTTAGAGGCTCCGAGGAAAAGCCGGGGGTCATTGGACTTGATTCTGCCACCCACCCGTCGTATTAGGCTCGTACCCCTTAGTGTGGTCCCCGCCTCGTCCCCAGAACACACCCTTGTCTTCCCATATGTTACCTGCCCCCTCCCAAGTTTATTACTGGCACTTGCCCAGTGCCCTAGGGAGGTCACAGTGATCAGAGTGTCTGTGGTGACGGGGATGACGTTCTTGGTGTCCCCTTCACACTAGTTCACTCAACACACAGAGAAACCCACAATCACGAACCACTCACACATTCAGACGCTACCCACGTGTTCACACACTGACCCGCAATCCCAGCACACATTTACACACCCACAAAACCACGCACCACTTACACACACACATACACACACACACACACACACACTCAGACCCAGCACCAAGTCACCCTAGTTCCCGGTAGCTGCCCGGACCCCCCCCTGCCTCCTGCCTCTGCCCGCAGTGGTGCTGTGGCTCCTCGCCTGGTAGGCGGGCCCAGCGTCCTCAGTTCTGGCCTGATCTTGGCCTGTTGAGTTTACATCTGGGGGTGGGGAGGCAGCTGGGTTGTTTTCAGAGCTTCCTACTCACCCTGACCGCCAGTTCAATGGCCTGGAGACGCCTTCCTAAGTTTGTTACAAATTCGTCCTTGGACCTCCTGGCTCTTGCGGCCACCCGAGTGATGAATGTCCTTCATGCCTGCCCCACTTTCCGGCGTGGGCACTTTCCCTTGTTGACTGAGCTGCCGCTGAGCTCAGGGCGTGAGGGTGGCTTAGACCCGAGAGGTACCTCTGTCCTCTGAGGAGGAGGCCTGCTTCCTCCTCCTCCTCCTCATTTGTCCTTGAACATCAGCCGCTCAAACTCATTCTGGAAGACGAGGGGATGGAAATCCAGTGGGACGCAATTTCTTTCCGCCCTCACAGGCGTCCCCTGCTGAGGACCCCAGGGAGTGAATTCTCAGGCCTCCCCTTGTGCCAGCGCCTTCCCCGCCTCCCCCTCCCCGCCCCCCCAGGCCAGGTCCCCCGTGGCTCCAGTCCCAAGCCTTCCAGTCCTGACTCCGAGGTCCCTCCAGGAAAGATGCAAACCTGTGTGCCACCCGCACCAGGCTGGAGTCGTGCCAACCAGATCCTTCCTCTTGCTCAGCCTCTCTGCCCCTCCGCGTAAGGCCTGGGTGACTACACCATGCCCGGCCTCACGCTCCCTCTCCAACAATGGAAGCGGCGGGAATTGAAGCTGAATTGTTACATCAGTGAGGCTGGTGGGAACTCTGAGGCCAAAACCTGCTCAGATGAGAAGGTAGTAGACCCATCTGAGAAGGGTGGGAAGGGGCATTTCCCGGGCAGGGTCAGGCCCCTTCACCCGTCCCAGGGGTGTGTGAGGCACACTCTCATTCTGGAAACAGCTGGAGTATTCTCTCTCCCAGCTGAAGCAGGGCCTGGGGGAGGCATCCCTTACCCCCACCCCATCGCTCCCGTTCTCCCCCTGCTTCGCCTTCCCACTGTAAGAGGACCAGGATCTTCCCGAGCGCCCTCTGACATCCCTGGCTCAGACACGCCATTCAGAGGTGGCAACCCCGGGGCCATATGGCTTCCAATGTTCGCAATTCCTGCTTGGCTTGTGGAAGCTGCTTCCTTCCCGAATTCCCACACCCCTACTCTCCTGCTGGGCCCAGGACCTAGTTTTTTGGGGCCCAGCTGGGCCTTCCCTGCATCTCGCCATGGCCAAGTACTTGATGGGCTTGGATTCTGTCCCACCCACACCGGAAGTACTATGTGCTGGGTACTGGGTGCTGGGCTAAGTACTGGCAACATGGTGGGAAGCAGATGGTGGGCCCTGCTCCAAGGTGCTCAGGACCCGGAGGAGGCCAGGCCGGCAGCGTGGGGACTGCTTTCAGGGTCATGGGGACACTGCCCCAGGCTGGAGCAGGACTTTCTGGAGGACCCTGGAGCACTGCAAAGTCTTGTGCGTGGTGGGGGTGGGGCAGCCGGAGGGAGGCGGCTGGAGGTGGCAGCTTTGCAAGTCTGGCTGAGGTCTAGACTGTGTGAAATTGCGGTCTTGGCTTCCAGGAGGCAGGGAGACCACTTCTAAGGCCACTCGATAGAGCAGGAGGGCGAGACCCTAGGCACCCTGGGGGCGGGGTGGGGGGGTGGGGGTGGGGCTCTGATCTGCTTCAGCTGCGCGCTCCTGTTCAGCGAGTGGCGACTCTCTACCTGGACCGCCGGTCAGGTGGTGTTAGCACGGGGAACGTGAGGGTCCGAGTGTCCGGTCACGCAGTGGCCTTAGATAAACTATCTCTACCCCTTCTTTTGATGCATCGTGCCCACTGGGGGGTTGCGAAGGGCAGTGGCCTGTTGTCCAGGGCGGGTGGCCTCGTGAGGCCTGTGGCCTTCTGTAGTCATTGTGCAATCATAGCTTCGTGTGCCAGGCGCTGCTGTTCACGTGCCCTCTCCGCGGCCCCTAAGGCTGGTGGCTTCCAGTTCGTGGTAGGAGATCAAAGTCATCGAGCAGCATTGGGGTCCGTTTCAAAGTGCATGCTCTGAGTTACCGTTCCACACTGGACAAAAACTTCAAGGGCCAGCACTTGAGTTCCTGGGACTTACTCACAGACACACTCAGGGCCGCCCCCACCCCCAGTCAGGCGGTGAGGCTGCCCAGGAGAAGCGGAGATGGGAGTGAGCGCTTTGCAGGGACCACATGTGTCACTGGAGTTCGCCTGCCCTGGGAGGGATGGCACCAACACGGCGCGGACCGGGAACCGCCCACCCCCGGCACCCCTGGGAGGGAGCTTCGGCACCCAGCCAGGGCGCTGGGAACGTTGGTGGCATTTTGGTAGCCGTGACCCCTCTCCCTCCCTGCGGCATGGCGGCGCCCACAGAGGAAACCCCCCAAAATTCCTGGGGACAGAAAGAGGCAGAAGGTTAAAGCGGACCCTGCGTGCAGCTTGCCGGGCACATCGGCCTGGATCTCGCACCTGTCAATGCGAATATACTCAACACTGCACACTGGTTAAGATGGTAAATATTTTATCCGCAATTTTAAACTTATGAAAAAAAATCCATGTTATCACCATTGCATACCTATTAGAATGGCCAAAATCCAGCACACTGACAACACCAAATACCGTTAAAGGTGTGGGGCAAAAGGAACTTCCATAAGCGGCCGCTGAGAACGCAAAATGGCGCGGCCACTGTGCAAGGTGGCTGGTGGTCCCTTACAAAACGAAACCTTCTTACCATGTGATCCAGCAAGATCCTCGATATCGACCCAAAGGAGTTGAGAACGGATGTCCACACAAAAACCTGCACACAGGTATTCACAGCAGCTTTATTCATGATTGCCCAAACTGGGAACAAGCAAGCGTCTCTTGGCAGGTGAGTGAACTGTGGTACATCTGGACAATGGAATATTCCTTAGCACTAAATGAGCTATCAAGCCATGAAAAGCCGTGGAGGAACCTTGAATGCGTTTTCACTGAGTGAAGGAAGCCAATCTGACAAGGCTACATACTGTATGATTCCAACCATATGACATTCTGGAAAAGGCAAAACTATGGAGACAGTAAAAAGATCAGTGGTTGCCAGGGGCTGGGAGGAGGGAGGACAGGCAGAGCACAGAAGATCTTCAGGGCGGTGAGACTACTCTGAGACCGGAACGGTGGACACGTGTCATTACACCTCTAGTCCAAACCCCACGGAGTGTGCAACACCAAGAACGCACCCAAATGTCAACTACGGGCTCTGGGTGACAACGATGGGTCTATGTAGTAGGATCACCGGTTGTAACAAATGCACCGCTTGGCTGGGGTAGGCTGTGTGTGGGGGGACCGGGAACACACGGGCACGTTCTGTAACTTCTGCTCAATACTGCTATGAACTTAAAATGCAGGAGGTGAGGCTTCCTGCAGAAGCTGGAAAGCCGGAGCCAGGAGCGGAGTGTGGAGCGCAGCCACGCCCCGGGGAAACGGTCATTTCAGAAGCCAGTTTGAGGAAAGTCCTAGAATCATCCCATGTGCCTCGCTCAAGTATCATCGGCAAGTCAAAAGGGGACAGAAGAATAAAAGCAAAATGACAAAGAATCATTTGCCACTGGGAAAATATTTTCCTCAAGACACATATTTTTCAAGGTTTGTGGTTTAGCCCCTGACACCTGAAATCTATCAATTTCATCTGAACCGTGTTAACGCCAAGTCAAGACCAGACGGAAAGCCGCGCGGCTCAAAAAGCCGTCATTTCCATGCAGGTCCCACAGCCCGCCCAGCACACCCACCCACGCCTCCGTCCCGGTGAGCGAAATGAGAAATGGGCCGCACGGCTTGATGGAGCCATTAAAACAGAATTAATCTGCCATTTCTGCGGTCCCAAATTGATGAGCACACAAGAACTCATTTATAATTGCTTATTTCTACTTCACAACATTCCTTCCAGTATTTCTGTTCTCTAGAAAAGTCCATTAACATTGCATTATTTTTTTATAACCTTTAAAATTAATGTTGATTGGAAATCTGTCCTCGTACCGACTTAAGTAAATCTGCCCGTCCCCGCACACTGGCTGACTTCCACCCGCCCGGGCGGGGCCGCAGAGGAGCTTGGGTTTTGTGTCCTTCCAGGCCCCGCTGCGAGGGCCGCGGGGGGCGCGGGGGGCGCGGGAGGCTGGGGCTCGGCTCGGCTGGACAGTCAGATGCAGTGGAGCAAAGCCACCTTTGGGGGCTGGAATGGGAGGAGGAAGAGACGCGTTTGCTTTACATTAAACCAAAAAAGGAAACAAGGTTAAAATGAAGTTTATTATTTTTTGATTTTTTTTTTTTGTTTTTTAAATAAAACTGTTTGTGAAACAGCCATTTTATCCCCACGGCAGAGTGACCCCTGAAAGATGCACTAACCCCTTCTTAAGGCCTTAACAAGATTTTTTTTGTACTTTTTTCTTCTTTTTTTAAAACTCAGATATTTAAAAATTATACCATTTACAAAACAAAACAATACAACATAAAGAATCATGTAGCGTGGAGCTGCTCGCCTGACAGGCCCCCTTTTCCTTTATACAAACGAAAGCAAAAGAAAAAAGGGCTAACTGGGTGTTCCTGGTCAGCCTAACCACACTGATGGCACTCAACAGCCCCTCCCCGTGTGCCGGGTCCTACAACTTAGATTTCCTGTCCCGACCTTCGGCCTGGGGAGGGTGGGGGGAGGGACAGGGTACAGCTGCCAGGAATGCGTCCAGAGGCAGGCCACCCCCTGACCCTGCCTGCCGGGCGCACTTAGTGGGGCGCTCGTGGTTCTCACTGGCCACAGTGACCCAGGACATAGCTGTGACCTTGGGACATCTGCCAATCTCACCCCCCCAAAAGATAAAAATTTTAAAAATAATAAATAAATAGTGTTTCTGGAAATGAAAAAATTTATTTGTGTTTAAACATCATTCCCCCACTCTTGAAAACACGGACCGTCCCCACATCCCCCACCCCCCCCCCCCCCCCCCCCTCCCACTTTGAGACAAATTAACGACAAAGGATGGTTCCGGTGTGGTCTGTCTGCTCTTTCAACCCTGGGTCTGCAGCTCTCTGAACCGGTGTGAGGCAGGCTAAAGATCAAAGCCACACCCCGTCCTTTATGAGACCAGCTTGTTCAATTTCACACTTAAATTTCACTGTTATTGGAACAAATTTGGAGTTCTTTAACTAGAGAATTTTAAAATAGAATCAAAAGGGATAGCGCACCTTTCATTTAAACAAAGTCTTTCCAGACTAAAAATAGATTTATATATATATATTTTTATCCCACCCTTTTAACCCCCCCTTTCCCATCATCCCACCCCACCCCCCTCCCCCCACATTGTCACTATGGAGATCGTGTCCATGGAAACAGCCATTCCAACTTCTTGGGTCTTTCTTTCCTGTGGTGTCACGGTTTGGGTGTGATGTAAGGACTTAGGGAGGAGGTGCTGGCGGGGCAGGGCGGGCGGGGCGGGGCCGCACAGCAGGACGGTTCTGGTTCCATCGCGAGTGTCCACCACCTTCTCATCTCCACAGTCTCACCTGGAAGACAGAACCGACACTGGGTGCCGGGAACCTCCGTGCGGCCCTGCGGCCGACAGTCCCCACTCCGTGGGTCCAGCGGCTGCAGACCCCCCCACAACGGTGCCATCGAGGCAGGAGACCCCCCCAAGACCGGTGGTGGCCAGGAACACAGTTAAAGACGGCAGTGACCCCGCCGGCTGCTCTGTGACTAGACTCTGTGCCCCGAGGTGCGGCTGCCTCCCCGGCGAACGGAAGGAACTGAGGCCAGGAAAGGGCTCCCCAACTGTCCTGGTGGGGGCCGCCCCGGAGCCGGGCAGCTCTTGGGGTGACCCCTGCTCAGGATGCCACCACCAGGGGCCCGGAGTGGGGCTCGGCACTGTGGCGGCCCAGAGCGGTCCTCACAGAGGTGGCTGAGCACCCAGGCGATCTGTGGAAGAACCGCTCACAGCCACAGCTGCTGGCGGTTGACAAGAGTGATACTTCACATGACAAAAGAACACTCTCCGGCCGGCGGCTAAGACAGGGAGGGCAGGGCCAGATCTGAGGCTCCCCAGGCGCCCCCTGCCACGGTTCCTCTTCCAGCCCAGGCTCCAGGCTCAGAAAGATGATCCAGACAACACCCGGGGGCGAGTGGGGCAGTGCCGGGGGCCTCCTCAGACTACCTCACAGGTCACTGTGCGGGCAGAGGTCTGAGAGAGACACGCGGCTTCCGAGGACCAGTGCCGAACAATCAGCGGAAGCCGAGAGTGGCAGAGGCCTCCCCCCGACCTGCTCCCTGCTACTCAGAGTGCCCCCCTCTCCCTCCGACCCCCTCTGGTGCCCCCCTCCAACAAATAACCCCCAGGAAAACCCAGGCGGTGCTGTCCCTTTTCTGTCCTCATACAACTAACAGGCAGGACAGTTAAGAAGGCTATCTGTGTGCAGGAGCCAAGAACCTTCTATTTAGAAGCACCCGAACGTATACCTGCCCTTGCCGAAAAGAGATGCCTAACTGCTTGGCGTAAAACATGGTTACACGGGAAGCCCTTCTGCAGAGACAGCAGGACAACGTCATCCCACTCAGGTGAGGCAAACTCCAGGGCTCCACGGCGACAGCGTGGCTTCCCTAGTTCTGGAGGTGGCCCTGGGCCCCAGAGGTCGCCCCGGCCCTTCCGGCCCATGCTCTGATTGGCCCCCAGCACGGGGAGACTCTCCACTCCGCCCTCTGGTTTTCCTGAGGTGAAGGCCGCCAGGGGAGGGGAGAGAACCAAAGGTCCCGTGTAAAGGTGATGACAAGGGTGGAGCTGATGGGATGACTCAAGCGACAGCCAGAGTGGGGAATCTTGCTGGGGACGCAGGACACCCGTCCAGGCACACCGCGTAAGGCCCTGCGTGTGGAGGGAGGGACAGGGTGGGGTCCCTTGGCACAGCGCTGGGCCTGCAGCCCCAGCCTGTTGGCTGCTCAGAAGAGCAGGCCCCACCCCGGCCCCCAACCTCAGAATGAAGCAGGCCCAGCACCTGGGGTCAGCCTGGCCGGGGTGGGGGGACTCGGCAGGGTGCTGACCTCGGGCTCTGGAGCGCCTGGTAGTCTAGGCAGCCGTGGCCTTTACAGCACCTCCTGCCTGGCTCTGTCTGCCAGCCTTGCTAACAGGGACCTTTCCTCAGGGTCTGATGTCAGACTGCCCTGAATATGTGACCCCTTGAATGTCAGGGGACCCTAACTTCTCAGAGCTATTTCTAAAAAGCTGTTCCTTCGACAGGGAGCACAGGAAGAAAATTCGGGTGCCAGGTACTATGCCAGCAGTTTTACAGGGGTCCTCGTGAGGACACCAAGGCCTGACCCCTGTCTCACGGGGACCCAAAGCCACGGGGGCTGCTGACAGGGGCTGCTGGGACTGGGGCTCCCACCCAGCAAAGCCCTTCTGTCTGGGCCCCGGGACCCTGCCTTCGAGCCTCAGTCACCGCGTGGTCTTGTCCAACCACGTGGGACGTGGCTGAGACGGCATGGTCCCGGGCGGGGAGCCAGGGGCAAACGCCGTGCCAGCTGCAGCCACTCTCTGTAAAAGGCACCTTGGTGTCCGGCTGCCAGTGGACAGGGTCTCACCCTGGGCCACAGCCTTCCCGGACTCCCGCTCTCCTCCGCTCCCACCTTCCTTCCCCTTCAGCATCACCTCTGTGGCCTGGACAGGCCTCTGGCCGCACAGGCACAGCCTGCCTTCCCCAACCTTCTCTAACCGCAGCCAGAATCCATCACCCCAGCCCACCCTACCTGGCCAGTTTCCACCTGTCGGGGTGGGACTGTGTGCCGCCTTCTTCTCTGGGGTGCGTGCCCCCCTCTAACCGACTGCCCGCGTCGCCCTGTGCTAGGGCACAAGTGGGCAGATCCAAACACGGTTCCTGTCCACAGTGGGGACACAGTTTACTGGAGAGGCACATACGCAAGCAAACAAATGATTCCAAATTGGCCTAAGAAGGCTGCAGCCTGGGAAGGAGGTGGTTAGACAGGGGCTCAGGAGGGAAGGCCTCGTGAGCAAGTGACATGGAAGCAGAGACCCGAGATGAGAGGGAGCCTGTCACTGAAGGGGGGGGGGGCGGGGGGGGGGAGAGTACCCAGGCCCAGGGGGATGGCAAGTGCCAAGGCCCCTAGGGAGGAAGTCTGGACTCCGAGGAGCTCACTGGACACTCCTATAGGCCTTTGGAGGCACGGTTAGGGGTTAGCACAGGGTGAGGGCGGGCACCCACCGGCCTGTCGCCCTGCCTCCTGACACTCACAAGTGGGGAAGAGGCGGCCCACTGGGTGACTGTCTGCCCAAGGAGCTTTCCACCCTGGCCATGTTGGCCTGCTGAGGGACAAGTGCAGGTACCTTGTCCCGGAAGGACTAGAACTCCCACCTCTCAGCCCCCCGGGCTTTGTGTTAGACAGGGAGGCACAGGGTCCCACCCAGCCGGGCACAGCAGGCCAGTACCCCACGCTACACTGCACAGACACGTTAAAGACATTTCTTGACCGAATCCTCACAAGGTGGGCCATCGTCATTCCTCTCTTTACAGAAGAAACAGAAGCAGCGGCATTTAGCGGCCTGCCCCTGCTTACATAGCACTTTCTGTGTGAGAAAGGGGGGCACCAAGAAGCAGGACTCATGTACTCCTGTCCCTTCCCTGCCTTGTCAGGGTCACCCATTGATTGTGGCTCTCTGTTCCTAGAAAGGGCCCCAAGATGAAATGTCCTCTGTCTCCGACTACTGGGGTTCCCATACAATCTGTGGAGGGCCACTGCTCTCAACGAGATGGCTGAACTGAGAAAGCGGGACAAGGGTCCCGACTTGTGGGGACAGCGTATGAAGCAAATCATTTCAGGTGGACAAAGCTGGACCCCACACCGATGGGCCAGGCCGTCACCACTCAGAGCTGCAGTGTCTTTTGTGCACGTGGGAAGCACACACCGACACTGAGGTCTGAATGCTGAAGCTTCCTGCTCCACGCGGGGGCCGAGGGCTACTGGCTGGCAGGGCCCAAGGCTGGCTGGAGAGGAAGCAGTTGATGAACGAAATTAAAATTCCCAACTGGAGTTCTGCTCACCAGGCCCAGGGCTCAGACTTCCTTTTTTTGTTTTTATCCCTCTCCAAACATGAGCTGGGATTCTGGGACAAAAACAAAAGGCACTTAGCACCAACTGGTTCTTTCCCTAACCTGGTCATCCAAGGGCACTTCCAGAATGTTCCTTGTGGCCCCTGTAGCATGTGGCTCTGCCCGGCAGCCAGGCAGTGGAGTTGACAGGAAGAAGGCAGAGCCCAGGCACAGGACAAAGGCCAACAGAAACAAGCTGGAAAAGCAACCAGCCTGCTGTCTTGCCCCAGGGGCTGCTCGGTGGGGAAGGAGGACGGGAACAGTGGCCTCGCTGCATTCCAGAAACCGGGGGCTGCTGCTAGCAGCAGTGTGCTCATTTGGTTCCTGAGACCCAACCACCTGTTCTGCTCTGTCCCTTCCATTCCTCAGCCCCCTCCCTGGGAGAGGAAGACAGGCCTAACTGCAAAGGCCTCACTTGACAGCCCCCTCGAGAAAGCACCACAGGCCTCCACAGCCCTGCAGCCTCCACGGCGGAGCAGAGGGGGCTTCTCTGGAATTCTGTACCAGGACCCACCTGAAGAACGAGGACTTCTCAAAGGACAAAAACCGCCACTGTCTGAGACAAATTCTATTTTTTTCCTCAAATTACTGTTGGGTATTCCAGAGAAAGGTGGAATCTGCCGGTTGTAACAGGGGGAGGAAACGTGCCACAGACTAAGCGCACCTGTGTGTGGCTCTCAGACGCCGGGAGTCAACACAGAAGCCCTTCATTTGAAGAGAAATAATCCCTTAATGAACATTTCTGAGACAACTGGCTCCCCCCACCCCATCCTATAGGAGCAACCACCTCCAATTACATTTTGGCTTTTCTTTTTTTCTCTTTATGGTCTCTTTTGCTCAGTCCTCAGTGACTCCATGTGGGGGGGGGGGGCAAGGAAGCCAGTTGGGGAGGAGGGGACGCCCGTTGCCTCTGGGGACGCTGGTCCTCTAATCCCGTTTTCACAGATGCACGCCGCCCTGACCACGAGCCCGGACACACTCGCAAAAAGCATAACTCAATCTCTTGAGGTTTTTAGGAGTAAAATTAAATCGGATGCTAAAGTCTCCTAAATCTTTGAGGGGATTTTCCTTCCCTTTGTACTTTTGCGCAAAGGAGTCCTTCACAGTACTTGGGGAAAGAGATTTCAAAGAACAAAACTGGGAATTTTTTTGTTTTTCAAAGGAAAAGCCACCATAAGCTTTACAGAGAGGGAATAAATAAAAAAGGACAGCCCCCCGGCTAGAAGCATTTCTGAGTCGGACACAGGGGGTGGGCTGCTGGCAGGGTCTGTCCCAGAAGCCTCCGGGAGCACCACACATGCACGCGCGTGCGCACGGCGTGACTTCAGCTCGGTCTCTGTGAGCTCCGACGGGCAACGGGACAGCCTCAATCACCCCTCCTCGGGCTCCAGGGAAGCTAAGCGACGGACGGGGAGACGTTCTATCCACCTGGTGTCAGCCGTCCACGTGATTAAAGGCCTGGGTGCAGCCGGGCCTGGGGCGAGCAGGAGGGCAGAGGCCATGACACCCACCGGGACTCTGGCAGGGGTGCCGGCCCCGACTCACCTGTGCTTGCTGTACTTTCCATTCCCACGAGCACTCTGCCCCCCTCACCCCCGCTCCGACTGCTCTGTGCTGAGGCTGCCTTTCGCTGTCTTGTTCTGCAAGGGGGGGAGGGGGAATGGGAGGGGAGGCTGACGCCGGCAAAGCCAAGGACACGAGACAGGAGGGACAGAAGAACAGTGTGGGGGTCAGGGAGGGCAGAGGCGAGGAGAGGAATGGCACATGGAAAAGGAAAGAAAAAGCAAAGAGTCAGTATTGAATGACAAACAGGAGATATTCAGACAGGGTTTTCTAAGACAAAATGTGATCATTAGAGAAGTTTAAAAAATAAAAAAAAATGCAAATTAACTCGAAGAGAATACCATAAGATCCTAGGATCCATCTCTGGAAGTAAACTTTTAAGGAAAAGCCAGAGTAAGCATCTTTCAGAAGTGTTTTGAAGGCAGACTGTCAGGATGGCTTCTCAGTTCGCTCTGGCCCCAGTCGGAGACTGAAGCCTGTGAGCGTCCAGTGACCACCAGGTGTCAGTGTGACCTCAGCCAGAGGACAGCACGGCCGCTGCAGGAGCTCCAGGAGGCGACAGACCTTGGCCGCAGCCCCCATCCTCTCCAGGGCTTCCCCGCACCCCCCTCTGCACCCTCCCTCCCTCCTCCCCCACACGTACTGGCTCAGCAATGGCCCAGTCACCCCAGATCTTCCATCATTTCCTAAAGGGGCCACCAAGAGAGGAGAGACGCCTCTTGAATGATGTGGGAAATCAGGTGGCGGCGGCCCACCAACCACACCACAGGTCGCGCTTCCGCTGAGTGAGGTAAGATCTAGAAGAGACTGAGTTTCCCAGCAAAGCCCTGGAGTCAAGTCTTATTTCTTTCAGTCTGGGAAAATGCCTCTGATTATGCACCAAGGCCTACAACCAATCTTACCTTGCGCCAACCTGTGAACTGGGGTTCCATTAAACTAAAATGGAAATCAGTGGTTTTATTGAGTTTCATCTTTGCATTTCTCTTAACAATCAGATACACACCTTCTGCTTCCAGACATCTCTCCCAGCCTCCCACACCACATGGGGGGGGGGGGGTGTCGCCCCAGGGCACAGGTCTCCCTCCTGCAGGGAGAGACCTCCCCCAGAGAGCACAGGGCCTCTCTGCCCTCCCAGGGCCAGGAGCGGACCAGAGTCCGATCACAAGGGTTCTCCAAATTCTGGTCTGTAGCTCGTGCAGAACCCCCCCCCCCCCGCAGCCTGCCGGGGGCACTAGCTCTGACTCACCTTGTGCTTGGGGCACCTCACCGAGAAGTTCTCCTCATGTAGCAAACAATCTGCAAGACAGAAAGGGGCAGTCAGACAGCTGGCAGACAGCACAGCCCAAGGGGAGTGGGGCCACGCTAGCCAGGACTGACAGGGTCAGACATGGAGATAGGAGACCCCCGCACTGGCGTTTCTAAAACATCAGAAACACCCCCAAATAAACTACGGGACTGCAACATGATGGAACATCAGTCACTTAAAGCCTTAGTGTTTCAAAACAGCCAGTGGTACAGGGAAACACTCATGACACAAAATGGCTTGAAATGCCAGGATACATAAATATAGAAGTACAATCCTAATTTTAACAAAGTGTGTTATATATGCATTTTAAAAAAGAAAGGAAATTTACCAAAATCTAACAGTGCTTCTCTCTGGGCAGCAAGACCACATAGGTGATTTTATTTTATTTTATTTTTTTACATGTTTCCACGATTACACCATATTATTTTAATAATGAGAAACAACCTCCAATAAATCTTATTTTTAAGATCCCTGATTCTAGGCTAAGCCCCTCCCACAGGCCCAAGCTGAAGCTTCCCTGTGAAAACACCCCAAATCCGGAGGCACCTTTCTCCTCTGTTGCAAGCCCTGCCATCTATCACCTTTGCTGTACAACCCACGGAGACACAGGAGAAGTTCCCGACACGAACCACATAATCCACACTAAATGCTTCAGGGGAAAACGAAATCCCACGAGGGGGTTACTAATCCTTGGAGGAAAATGATTCATTCCAACTTTTAACGTGGTGACAGCATCCTCGCTGACAGCAAGGACACGCATCCGCCTCCAGGTGAGTCGAGCTCCGTGGCACAGGGGTAGCGTGTGGAGCGGGGCGAAGAGATCTAATTAATGAATTCGCTCTGCACACCACAGCTCCCGGAGACCGACAGCCAGGTCACCGGTGCAAGATGTGATGGCAGAATGTTAATAAATATTGATCGCACATTCTCAGAGAGCTCCCGGGCACCATGGCGGGAGGCAGCCACGGTACTTAGCCTTGTTAAATGTATGATTTAACTCAGGTTTAAACTGAGGTCCAAATTCGCAGCCTGTGTACCCACAGATTTCAGATGAAATAGTAATGAGCAAGGGAACACACAAATGAAAACTTCTGAGGTCCTTGGTATCTTAAACAAACAGAAAAAGACCCTTTCATAATTGGGCCGGGCCTGTCCCATCACTGCCTCCCCCTGGAGCCTCTGAACACCGAGGGGTGGGCAGGCAGCCTCCCTGCTCCCGGGGCAAGCCTCAGGGCACAGGAGCTCCGCAAGTCCGCTAACCTCCGAGCCCTCCCCCTGCAAGCAAATAGCATGGCAGTAAATGAAATGTGTTAATTTAAAACCCACAAGTACATGGCGTGACCAAGGCTCCTGCTGCTCCAATCTGCCAGAGAGCTTATGAACAGCAGGACACAGACAACTGGAGCTCAAGGGAAGCACTTGCTCCTTACCTGGGCTTTAGCAGCGCCGCGTGCTGGCGGTCTCTAGGTTGGGCCACAGAGAAACAAATGGCAGAGCCCACGTGGGGCTCGGCCACCTCGACGCCATAGGGGTTTAGAGAAACGAGGAGGGGGACCACGCTGGCTGGAAACGGTGCCACCCGAGAGGCAGAGGCGGCTCCGTCCGCCTCCCAGCCACGAGGAGTCACCAGCTGTGAGAGACCATTAGTAAAATATGTCTGAAGCTAGGAAACACGTTCCCTCTAAGTTAAAAAGCAGAAAAGAAATAAAGTAATCTAAGTACACACTACAAGCAACTAGAGTTAATGTCAGGTACTTGTGCAAATGCAAGGCTCCTAACAAAATCTGCCAGAGACCACGTCCACCTGTGGCAACATCTCCCGCGCAGACAGACTGCAGACAAACGCTCTCATCTGTGCTTGAGTACCCACAGGCCACCAGGAACCGCCATCACGCTCCTGGCAGGCACAAGAACCAGGGCCAGAGAGCTTAGACACCCGCAAGGGCACGGGGAGCCTCTTCTTGGCTGCCTCGAACCAGCCCTTGCTGGGGGGAAGGGGCGCGGTGAGGCCTTTCCTGAGGTCTCTCAGCAGGCGCCTGCCCTACACAGCCAGCCAGCCTCTCGATTTGTTTTCCTTAAGCCCCTGGTGATATCCCGCACTGGCCAGAGGGCCTGGTCAGCACTTCCACACACTGAAGTCAAAGTAAATGGCTTGCCGGATCATCACACACGCTGGAAAAGACTCACAAGGTTGTCTCGTCAACAAGACGGCTTCCAGACACAAACACCGATGCCCCAGAAGAGGATTCCGCTTTCATTTCTCTCTACGCTCGTCTTCACTGAGATCCTCATGACAAGCTCCTTGGAGCTTCAGATACTCACATGCAGCCACAGCCACCCTGGGTGTGGATGGTAAACTCGAGGAGGGAGGAAAGGAGAGGGGAGGGCTCATGTCCTTCACACGTGCCAGGCTCCGGAAGCTGTCACCGGCTCACCTGCAACCCACCTCAGAGCTAGTTAGTACTTAGATTGGTAAAATCCAGGCCGGGACACGGGGACCTGCCAGTCTCACCCGCCTTGCTGGGCCCAAGGAGGGGACTATCAGGGCAGGGCAAGCAAGGCCTTGGCACTGCTTCTAGGGTGCAGAGCGTGGCCCCTCCAGGGAAGGGCCAGACACCAGTCCGCTCAAGGGCCCTGAACCCACTCTGCGGCAAGATCAAGATCAAAGTGCAGTGGAAGAGCGGCTTCTAAACGCTGCTGCAAGGGTGGCTGCAGAAAGCAAGTTTCCAGCTGGGCCTCCTCCTGAGGGGAAGAGGAAAATCCCCTCCAGGCTGGATTCTTTATGCACAGTAGTTATTAATGTGCTACCGCAGTCCTTTTTTTCTTTTGGTCTTAATTGCTGTGGCTCATTGCATTAACATGTCACTTCTTTTGAAACTAGTGCTCACGTTCTCCTCACTGCATCTCCCTGGAGCCCCAGGCTGCGCCTGTGACGGAACAAGTAGCACAGGACAGCCAACCATGATGTCACTAACGCAGGACCAACAACAGGTGGAGGGAAGCTGTGGCAGCTACAGACCCTCAGGAGAACAAGATTCTGTTTCCGTGGAGATGTCCCCAGCCATAAAAGTTCTCTCTTAGACACGAACAGCTCTGTAAAGGTCTGGGTGGTTCACAGCCAGGCAAAGATGAAAGTGTTCAACTGTTCCTTACAACAAGTAGCAATGAGGGACTCTCCAACCCAGGGACGTATAATTAGGAAGGAAGTCAATCAATGAACGCCTTTCCTGGACACACAGATCCATCACATATAGAACCGAATTCCTCAGGAGACCCTGTGGGATAAACACAAGCATCTATGCCCACAGAGCAGTGTGGCCTTCTGGGTCACTGTGACTCAGGTCATCAAAAAAGACTGATAAATCCCAAGACATGGTCATCCTGTGATGCTGCTTCCTTGGTCCCAGATCTTCACGTGGAGCAGCGGTGAAGCCAGCAGCAGCTGGGGCAACAGCGTCAGGGCCTTGGCCCCACCTGGGCGCCCCCCTGACCCAGGCAGCCCCTCTCTCACCGGATACTCGGCCACCAATTTCTGCCAAACAGTCATGTTCTCAACTCACCTGGGAAGGCCACACAAGACAGGCTCAAACAGAGAGTGACAAATACCATTTTCTTACTAATCTTCAGCTGGTGAAGCAGCCCCTGCTTCCCTGCAGAGTGGCGGATCGAGCAAGCCTCCTTTGCAGAGGAAGAGGAGCCCAGCGCCACTTCCCAGACAACCCAGTCCCGCCGCCGGAGCTTGGAGGAGGCAGTGAACTAAGCCCAGGCTTTCCAGCCGCTACCCACACGGGGACATGTAAAGTTTAAGTTTAAATACAATGAAGTAAAAGAAAAATTCAGTCCCTCATTCCCAACTAGCCACATGTTAAGCACTTAGTAGTAACACAAGGCTTGTGGCTACTATGCTGGAGAGTGCAGATCTAGAACATTCCCATGATGGCAGAGTCCTACCGAGCACCCTGCTTAATCCCTAGAGAACTGCCAGGAGGCAGGCTGTGAGCCTGGTCCCTAACCTGGCTGGCGCCCCAGGGTGCAGACAGGGAGCGCACTCATGCGGGGGTGGGGGTTGTGTACGATGTTATCTGCCTGTGGCTCACTGGATGTTTCTGGGCAAAGCCTCTGTGCAGGAGATCACCTCTCACCTGGCCACTGACTGGGACAGCCAAATCTTACAGTATTCCCCGCACAAAATTATAAACTGCCACAAACTTAATATGTTTAAACATCTTCACTTAAAAACCACGAAGCTTAAACTAGAAAGAGAATGTAACCAGGGGCAATATCATGACAATGAGAAAAGGCAGTGGCTGGCTCTTGAGGGAGAGGAATGAATGGCTATACTCGGGAATATGCTGGACCACAACCCAGGGTGAATGACAGCTCCGACTCAACAAAGAAACATGGAGGGGAAAGGAAGAAAGAGAATGGAAAGGACGGACTAAAACCCAAGATCCCTGAATTGACATCTTAAGGCTGTCTTCTTACTCGCTCTGGCCAAGCAGCGTCCCAGCCACCAGCTGCCCTTCAACGTGCAAATGCATACTTTCATGAGAACTAACTCTGACATAATAAGCATTATCTTTCTGGATCTTTCTGGTGTTCAGCTATGCCTCCTATGGAAACTTGGAAGGAAAATCAGAGAGGGAAGGGAGGAATAAGAGAAGGACTTGTGAGGCAGAGGGCCTGCAGCTCCAACAACCACAATGGAAGGAAGCAGCATCCAGATAACACACTTCTCCCCACGTCTGTCGGATTCTACTCTGTGTGCCTCACGCTGCTGTACCTGCTCAGCCATGCCCTCCCCTCTTGCCTGCCAATTCTAAATCAAACCTCACCTTCTGGGGAGAGCGGGGCTGCCTCCATGGAAGGAGGAACTCCTTCCTCAAGCACTCAGGCATAAGAAGCATCCTGCCACTCGCTGCCCTCTCGTGGACCTTCCCCTTTTTCTCCCCCTCCTTCCTGAATGAAAGTACAGTAAAACCTTGGTTTGCGAGCATAATTCCTTCTGGAAACATGCTTATAATCCAAAGCACTTGTACATCAAGGTGAATTTCAAGAACCATTGGCTCAGTCGTGATGTGACATTCGGCGTCACGTACTACTTGTATTGCAAGACACTGCTCACTTATCAAGTTAAAATTTATTAGAAATGTTTGCACAGAACAAGTTACTCACAATCCATGGTTTTACTATATTATGAGGGCCGCTGAGGTGAAGCCCTTAGTCACATGCTCAACAAGTTACAGGTGAAAACGTCCACTGAAAGGACAGGAGTCTAAAAGAAGAGGACTTTCCCAGGCTAAAGCTCTGAGTCAAAATTTAAGGTGTCATTGGGGCACTTGGGTGGCTCAGTCGGTTTAAGCATTCGACTCCTGATTTAGGCTCAGGTCATGATCTCACAATTTGTGAGATCACGCTCCGCACTGGGCTCTGTGCTGACAGCGCAGAACCTGCTTGGGATTCTCTCTCCCCCCCCCCCTACTTGCACTCTCTTTCTCTCTCTCAAAAGTAAATAAATACACATTAAAAAAAAGTTTAAGGCTTCTGGGGCGCCTGGGTGGCTCAGTCGGTTAGGCGTCCGACTTCGGCTCAGGTCATGATCTCACGACCCATGAGTTCGAGCCCCGCATCGGGCTCTGTGCTGACAGCTCAGAGCCTGGAGCCCGTTTCAGATTCTGTGTCTCCCTCTCTCTCTGCCCCTCCCCTGTTCATGTTCTGTCTCTCTCTGTCTCAAAAATAAATAAACGTTAAAAAAAATTAAAAAAAAAAAAGTTTAAGGCTTCTGCATCACTCACTGGATGGAACTTTCTGGACGAAAGTTTCCCCTTCTTTCAACAGTTACGACACTGCAAAATACTTACTCTGATCACATCAACAGACATGGAAAAAGGAAAAACTGCAGTATCCTTTCATGATAAAACCACTAAACAAACTAAGAATAGAAGGTAACTTCCTCAGCTGCATCAAGAACATCTATGAAAACCCCATAGCTATCATCACATTTAATGGGTCAGAAACAAGGCACGGATGTCAGCTCTTGCCATTGCTACCCAACATTATGCTAGATGTTCTAGCCAGGGCAATTAGGCAAGAAAAAGAAATAAAAGGCATCTGATTGGAAAGGAAGAAGTAAAACTACCCATTTGCAGATGACATATCTTGTATGTAGAAATCCATTAAAAAACTATTAGAACTAATCAACGAGCTGAACAAAGTTGCAGGATACAAGATCAATAACAAAATCAAGTGTGTTTCTATACGCTCACAATGAACAATGTGAAAATTAAATCAGGGAAACAATTCCACTCACAATCACACCAAAAATAGTAAAATACTTAAGAATAAATTTAACAAGTGTAAAACTTAAACTGTGAAACTATCTCGTCTGGTCATGAGTTGGAAGACATACTACTGGTTAAGATGGGAAAACCCCCCAACTTTACCTGCAGATTCAGTGCAATCCCTAGAGCTCCAATGGCTTCTCTGTACAGAAACAGACCAGTTGATCTTAATTAAAATTCACAGGAAAGAGTAAAGGACCCAGAATAGCCAAAACAATCTTGAAAAAAGGAATAAAACTAGAAGACTCCCACTTCCCAATTTCAAAATCTACTACAAAGTTACAGTAATCAAGACTTCGTGGGACTGGAGAAAGTCCAGAAATAAGCCCATCCATCTATGGTCAACTGGTTTTTGACAAAGTTGTGCCAAGATCATTCCACGAGGAAAAGAACAGTCTTTTCTACAAACGGAGCTAAGACAACTGAAATCCACATGGAAAGAATGAAGTGGACTCCTACTTCACACCATATATAAAAATTAACTCAAAGTGGATCAAAGACCCGTGTATGAGCTAAATTCTTAGAAGAAAACATAGGCATGAATCTTTGTGATTCTGGATTAGGCAACAGTTTCTTAGATATAAGAAAAGGCAGGGACGCCTGGGTGGCTCAGTTGGTTAAATGTCCGATTTGAGCTCAGGTCATGATCTCACTGTACGGATTCGAGCTCCACATCAGGCTCTATGCTGACAGCTCGGAGCCTGGAGCCTGCTTCGGATTCTGTCTCCCTCTCTGTCCCTCCCCCGCTCACGCTCCGTCTCTTCCTTCCTTAAAAATAAACATTTAAAAAAAAAAAAGTGAACAACCACCTAAACACCTAAACGTGCATCGACTGTTAAATGATAAATAAAATATGGCCTAAAATATGGGGTCCTCAAAATATGGTTTGGCAATAAAAATGAAGTAGTGACACGCGTCACAACATGGATAAACCTGAAAAACATTATGCTAAGGGACAGAAGCCAGTCATAAAGAGTATGTACGGTATGATTCCACTTCTACAAAATGCCCCAGAACAGGCACATCCATCACGACAAGAAGTAGATCAGTGGTTGCCAGGGGCTGGAGTGGGTGGAGGGCGAGTGACCGCTAACGGGTAGGAATTTACGAGGTGATGAAAATGTTCGAAAACTGATTGTGGTGATGGCTGCACAATTTTGTGGATCTACTAAAAACCACTGAATTGTACACTTAAATAGTGAATCATGTGAATTATATGAATAAAACTGTTATTATGACCCCATTTCACTCCTTTTTATTATCCTCTCTGCATTCCTTTAGAGTTGACAAACAGAACAGGGTCAGAAGTGACAAAAAGAACTATAAAGAGAGGAAAGAAGGCAGGGAAGGAACCAAAATGTACATCCCGCCCTTCAGATGCTCTGGATAAGGGTACGTAGTCCCGTCTTACCTGCGTCAATGGCACACGGGTAATGGTATCGGAAGGAGCAGCCTTTGTTGTAGCAGCCCAAGGTGGCACCTGCCTCCTGGCAGTGGGAACATTTCTGGAAGGAAAGAAGTGCACCACATCAGCATTCCAGAGTCACCCTCTCCTCCAGGCCTTCCCTAAACCCCATCTGTCATACCTCAGTATGTCTCTGTGGTTACAGGTCTGTGGTGGGGGTGGGGGTGGGGGTGGGGGGGTGGGCTGGTCAATTGCTAACCTGCCACCCACTGACCACACGGTGGAAAGGATCCAGCAGGAATGTTTTAGGCCAGGCCTCACAAATGTCCACAAACAGACCAACAGAACACCGCGGTGGGGCAGGGTCCCCAGACTCGCCTATGGTGCTCCTCCTGCCCACCCACCCACACACATGCTTGCCCGTCCTTTCCTCGTTCCTGCCGCATCCTAAAATGCCAGCTCTTGCCTGTTTATTTCTGCTGTGAAAGTCTGGGGTAGGAGGAGAGGGTAAGATAGTAGAGTTATATATAAACCTTTTAGAATTAAAAGTGGAATTTGGTTCCCAGTTCTTGTATTTGTAAGATTTTATTTTTATTCTACTTTATCCCAAATGCCCAATACAAGTATATTTCCCTTTTCAAAAAAGATGGGCTCCTGTGTGCAAATGGTATTTTTATACACAAATCCTATTTTAAATGCACTAGGAAACCTGCCACAAATTTCTGGCTAAGTGAGACACTATTCTGTAATTGAGATGCTCCCCCTTACATGGGCAGGTTTCCTTAAAGCGGGGCACATCTCTATCATCCTGTGATGCGGCGGCTGTGAGCTCTCAATCCTGTCCGCATAGGAAATGTGACCTATCAAAAGTCATCGTTATTTGTAAAATTCAACCAACTTGGCCCTACCGAGAAGGATGCAGACTCTTCAGGTGGCTGAGGCACACCCCGATAAGGCTACCTGCATGGCCCAGACACTTGTTCCTGATTCTAGGAAAAGTACCATGAAAAAGTTCTCCCTCAGCAGTCATACTTGTGGAGAGGAATGGCTCCCCACACATGCCCTCGTGCTCCCTGAGACAAAGTGCCTCAACGGCACCCTTCTCCCTCTTGTCTCGTGCAAAGGCAGGGCCCAAGTGGCAGCCTCTCAGGGGACAGTGTGGTCCCCAGATCTGCAGCAGTTAGGACCGCCTCGCCAGTGGGAGGAAGCTCGCCTGGATGGTGCCGTGGAATGGGTGGGACGCCCGGGACACCCCAGCACAGAGTGGCAGGCCCAGGACCAGGGAGCCGGATCAAGCTTCCCTGGTGCTGACGCTACAACCACACTAGCGCCAGCGACCGCAGAGCCCAAGTGCCCCCTATGCAACGGGTGTCCCTGCGTGCCACTGACGCACACCAGCTCAGTCAGCCCCGTCACCTCCCCACTCTCCCTCCAGATGAGGTGCCCGAGGCACCAGAGAGAGTGCACTCGCTCCGGCTCAGAGCAGATCCGGGCTGACCAACCCTGGCATCCTCCAAAGACAAACTTGGCTGGAATAGGGTGGTAAGACAGGTCTTTCGGGGGCTCTGCCTTCCTCTCAGGAGACCAACATCTTTCTGAGTGCCGGTGATCAGTAAATGTTTGCCCTGTGCCCTCGCACCCTTGCCAAGGCACAAAAGATTACTCGGCCTGGAATAAACCAAGGGCAGCTTGTAGCATTCTGAGTGGCCCGGGACCGTACCTACCTTTGTCCGTGCCACAGAGCACCTTCAGGACAAAGGGAACATGGCTGATTGGTCAGGGGCCCTGCCCGCAGCAACTCCTGCTGCCTCACCTCTGACTCCAGGAGCCCCCAACAGTCAGGTATCCAGAGCGCTTGTGCTCCAGGCCCTCCCTACCCTGGAGAGTGAATCTCAATCAGTGGTGGTCATTTACAGGTGGGTGCAGCAAGCATTTCTGGAAGGCAAGTCTGCAGTTTAAGGAACTTCTAAGGAAGTTTCACCCCTCTTAAAAAGGGACAAGAGGCAGGAACAGGCTGTCTGCTCACTCGGCCTCCGTGAGGATGGGATGGTAAGATCTGCCGCCATCTTCATATCACCACGAGGGGACAGCTGTGAAGATAAAGCCCAAGCTGCTGAGGACAGCAAAGTGACAGGGTGGAGGGAACCTGGACCTCTGAGACCCTGCTAAGGATTACATTAACTAGGTCAGGGACCATCCCATCTCCAGACTGTTAAGGGGGAGGACACTTAAAAAAAAATCACTTTTGGGGCACTTGGGTAGTTCAGTTGGTTAAGCGTCGGACTTTGGCTCAGGTCATGATCTCGCGGTTCGTGAGTTTGAGCCCCGCGTTGGGCTCTGTGTTGACAGCTCAGAACCTGGAGCCTGCTTCTGATTCCGTGCCTCCCTCTCTCTCTCTCTCTCTCTGCTCCTCCCCTGTTTGCGCTCTCTCTTTCTCTCAAAAATAAATAAACATTAAAAACTTTTTAATAAAAAAAAAAAAACAAAACAGACATTCTACACAGACCCCCTTTGAAAAGCAACCTGGAGAGCAGGATTTGTCATCACCCAAGTTCACAGACAGGAAAGGGAAGCAATCAAGCTTGGATGTGAACAAGGTCCATTTCCTTTCTACCTCAGCACATGACTCTGTCCCCTGCAGCCCCTGCAGGGCTTCTCAATGCTCCCTGCCCTGAATCAGCCCACAGACCACAGGTACTATCTTTTGCATAAAGAAAGCAAACTCACCACTCATCAATGATGATACTTGTTTCTTTCAGTTAAAAAGCATAATTAATTTACTATATTGCATCCAGAGGAGAAAGATTCCGTTATGGTATACTTGGGTCTTGAAGAAAGGACATTAAAGAGTTTGTTTTGTATGTATGTATGTATGTATGTATGTATTTCAGTGGTTTTCAAAGTGTAGTCCTTGGACCAGCAGCATCCAAGCATCACCCTGGAACTTGTCCGAAATGAAAATTTTGGGATTCCGGGAAGACGTTGGAGTAGGCAGGACCAGGAATCTGTCTCCCTACCTGGTCGACAACTGAACTGGCCGAATCTGTCTGATAGAACTATTTTGGAACTCTGGTGTCTGTTGTAGGCGTGCAACTTTCAGGGGAAGACTTGGGTGGTAAACTGCAGCTAATTTTGGTCAATTCCAGCTCCTGGCACAGTGGCTTCCATCTCCCGTTCACAGCCAAGCTCCAGGCAGCTGTGCACACGATCCTGGAGCAGCTTGCACATAGCCTGGGGGAGCCAGGGTGGGCAAAAAGAAACCCATCCTCCAAGTATCAGTGTATTGGGGGGAATCTCTGTTCTGACTCATTATTGCTTCAGATCACAGAGGTGCAGATGGAGGTGGCCAACCACGCTGTACCTCCCCTTGACTGTTGTAAGCCCCTCCCCCTCAGGCTGAAGGGACTTCTAGGAGATTTAAAAGGCTGGCATCCTCTCCTCACCATTTTTTGCTTTTTTCCCTTCTAGGAGCTAGACATTAAAGAGTAGGATGTTAAAAGAACAGCTATATACTTGGGTGCAATTAGAAAGTGACCCATGTGTTCCCACGGAAAGGCTTAGTAAAGACCTGAGAAGGCTTGAGTGACACCTCAAGCTGATCCCAGACACAGAAACAACATACAACAATGGAAAACAAACAAACAAACAAACAAAACCAAAACAATTAACAACCTCCCAAAAAGCAAAGTTTGGGGAAGGGGGAAGTATGATTTTCAGAGTGATCACATTATTAAATTCAAATTTCCAGTGTTCAACAAAGAAATCACAAGACATACATAGAGACAGGAAAGGCCAGTCTATTTGAAGGAAATAAATTAAACAACAGAAACCTTCCCTGAAAAAGGCCTAACGGCAAGTACACCAACGACTTTAAAAGAACGGTCTTAAAAATGCTCAAAGAAAGAGAAAGCTAAGAACACAATGTGTGAACAAATAAAAATAGCAGTAAAGAAGCAAAGAAAACCTAAAAAGATACCAAAAGAAATTCTTAAAGCTGAAAAGTGTAACTGGAATTTAAAAATTCACTAGAGGGATTCAAATGCAGACTGGAGCAGGCAGGAGAAAGAATCAGTGAACTTGAAGATAGGACGATGGAAATGATGGAGTCTGAGAAACAGGAGGGAAAAAAAAAAAAAAAAAGACTGAAGAAAAGTGAACAGAGCCTAAGGGAAACCATTAAGTAGACCAACAGGGGCAGTGAGGGAGTCCCTGAAAGAGAAGAGAGTGGAAGGGGCAGAGACAATTTTGGAATGGCTGAACATTTCTTAACTCTGATGAAAGACATAAATATAAACATCCAAGAAGCTCAATGAACTCCAAGAAAGATGAACTCAGAGACCTACAGTGAGACACATTACAATCAAACTTTCAAAAGCCAAAGAGAGACTCTTGGGAGAAGTAAACCATCACAAGCAATCCTCTCTGTATGACTACTTGCAGATTCCTTATCAGAAACTTTGGAGACTGCAAACAGTGGGCTGATACATTCAAAAATCTAAAGAAGGGGTGCCTGGGTGGCGCAGTCGGTTAAGCCTCCGACTTCAGCCAGGTCACGATCTCGTGGTCCGTGAGTTCGAGCCCCGCGTCGGGCTCTGGGCTGATGGCTCAGAGCCTGGAGCCTGTTTCCGATTCTGTGTCTCCCTCTCTCTCTGCCCCTCCCCCATTCATGCTCTGTCTCTCTCTATCCCAAAAATAAATAAACGTTGAAAAAAAAATTAAAAAAAAAACAAAAAAACAAAAATCTAAAGAAAAAAAAAAACTATCAACCAAGAATCCTATATCTGGCAATGCTGTCCTTCAAGAATGTAAGAAAAATTAAGACACTGCCAAATAAAAACTGAGGGAGCTGATGGCTGCTAGACCTGCTCTGCAAGATATACTCCAGGGAGCCCTGCAGGGTGAAGCTGTACAGAGGAATAAAAAGCTTAATAAAGGTAAACACACTGGCAATTATAAATACAGGTGCTAGGGGGGAATGGCTTGTAACTGCATTTTTTCTTTTTCTACATGATTTAAGAGACTAATACAGCTAAAGAAAAAAACCCAATTAGTGTAAAAGCTAGTATTACTGTTAACTTTGGTTTGTGACTGCAAATCTTG